TCCTGAACCGAACTCACAAAAGTTTTATTACAAAGGTATTCATTTGTCTTTAAAGTGTGTTCAAATATTTAGTATATTTCATTTATTTAATAGGTACCTGATCCTTGAAGTAATACCTGACAACCTCAGCTCAGTTATTAATTGGAAACCAATTTTATGCTGTCTGTGTTTGTACAGTATAGAGGTTGGCTAGTGGCCATTCATGCATATTATGTGTAAAGAAGTTAGCTCTCTGTTCTCATTTCGTCTGTGTACAGCTAAAATACAGGAAATTGGATTGTACTCTTCTCCAGGTACCATTGTGTAAATGAAATGCACTGAAGGTAATTATCAGGCTTTGAGCCTATGCAAGTTTTCATGCAGATCCCTCCTTATGGTTGATTGGCATAGACTAAGCCAGTTATAACTGCTGATGTGCTGGCCACTTGCAGCATATGCTGAAGACTTAACATTGTCACTTTTATGTCACATGTATGTGCCCATTATTCTTGACACACAGCAGGTATCTGGAAAGAATTGGTGTCATGTATTTTCTGATTCGGCAGTGCAAACACTAAGTGGCTTGACACACCTCTCATCGATTACCATTCCCATCCTGATATGGCAGGAGTCCCCAACCTGTCCCTAAGAACACATTCTAAAATATCTGTTGAAGGGTGGGCATCATTTACTTTTTCAAGATGAATTTATAGGTGGATGAGTTAATACATCCACATAAAAAAAAGAGGTCATTCGCATTTTGCTTTGTGCGGGTCTGTGTTGAACGCAATTTCAATTTCACTAAAAATGAGAAAACTTTCGTGTAGAATTTTATTGAAAACTAACAAATTTCTATTGTGATCACACAGCGGTGGGCACACGTTAAACCATCGGCTGGCTCCATGGTGCTCGCAGACATAGGGTTGGGAAACCCTGTATATATGGCTACACAGAGATTTCTCTATTGCAGTCCTGTGCTCTGTATGCACGATGTATATTGGCTGTCTTCAAATCCGATAACACAGCCATCCTACTACATCAGCAAGCAATTTGGAAATGGCAGTAAAGTGAAAGAATGTAAAAAGACTTTTATAGCTGAGTATCTCATAAGAATATATGCTGTACCATACAATAATGTTATTTCCAGACCAGTATTGCAGTATGTGATTCCTATTTGTACCTTTTCAACCTACCCTCCCAAAAGTTTTTATGTGCTTTGCTGAATTGCTTTGTATTTCATATCTTGTTTTATGTCTTTTGAAACACATTGCAAATAAGATAAAGGATACATAAACGCAAGCAGTGTAATTTGTCAGTTGAGGTTCAGTCAAAAGTCTTTAATCCGGACTCGTCGGGACTTCAGCGATTCCGGATTATCGGTTTTACCGCATAATAGATCATCAGTTTAAATCTGGTAAGATGGCATGCAGAAATTATAAAATTAAAAATATGAAACCGTAATTTATGAAATAAAGAGCAATTATGATCTAAAGGGGATCAAAATTTACAAAAAAAAAAAAAAAAAAAAAAAAAAAAAGCTTAATATTTATTTGTTTACTTTGTTAAGCATTTCTTTCAACACGCGCATGCGTAAAGCACACATTACGGATAGTCGAAATTAGAGAATTGCAACAAGAAAACTATTTGATGTGTATTCGTAATATTTATAATGATGAGGAATTTGATTTAAATCATACAAAAGACCGGCGTACATCGAGATGAAATACTACATTTTAGTAAGGAATTATAAGCCGAATAAAATAAAAGCATCAGCCCTGAAGATAAGGATAGCGCTGACAGATCCAGTTCATTGCGTGCTGCGACGTTCCCCGACCCCCCACAGAGCATCGTGAAATTGATGATTTCGGAATAGCTAGAGAAACAAAGGATATGCCTTTATCTATTTTTTGTAGCAAACTTTTTGTTTGATGGACATCGAAACATGCTTTCACCTTGTAGATCCTTTGGCAGCTCCAGAATCGAAAATTCTTTTTGACATAATTGAAAGTTCGGGCTTACTTTTATAAATTTGCTCTAACAGTCTGCAAAAAATAATAAGCCGGATCCAATTCGAAGGTTAAGGAACAATGCAATCTGCAACATTAACTGAAATGGATAGTTAGATAATTTTAGCTTAGTTTATACCGTCCATTATACATTAAACGCGCATGCGTAAATGTGTTATGCGTAAACGTATGCGCGTATGCGTAAAGGTATTATACGTTTATGCATGCTCAGAAAAGTTTGTAGCTTTGAAATACGGATTGTAGATCATTCCGGATGTCCAGATTAAAGACTTTTGACAGTAGATGCTTTGAAAGATGTTAAGAAATGGAACTGGCAAGCCAATGGGGTTGTTCATTAGTTTTGAATATTAACTCAAAAAGCTGAATCCAGTAATATACAGTCGAAAGTCTTTAATTCAAACGTCCATAATCCGGAATGATCTATAATCCAGACCTCAAACTGGAAACTTTCTGCGCATGCACATAATACGTTTACACATGCGCATTTAATATATAACGGACGGTATAAGCTAAGCTAAAATTATGTAATTATCAATTTCAGTTAATGTTGCAGATTGCGTTCTTCCTTAATCTTCTAATTGGATCTGTCTTATTATTTTTTGCAGACTGTTAGAGCAATTTTATAAAAGTAAGCTTGAACTTTCGATTATGTCAAAAAGAATTTCCCGATTCTAGAGCTGCCAAAGGATCTACAAAGCAAAAGCATGTATCGGTGTCCATCAAACAAAAAGTGGAATTGCTGCAAAAAATGGATAAAAGCATATCCTTTGTTTCTCCAACCATTCCGAAATCTGTTTGTCAATTTCACACTGCTCTGTGGGGGGGGGGGGTTAACGTCGCGGCGCGCAATTAACCGGAAGTTGATCTGTCAGCACTATCCTTATCTTCAGGGCAGATGTTTTTATTTTATTCGGCTTATAATTCCTTACTAAATGTAGTATTTCATCTCGATGTACTCCACCTTTGATATGATTTAAATCAAATTTCTCGTCATTATAAATATCACGAATACACATCAAATAGTTTTTTGGTTGCAATTTTCTAATTTCGACTATGCGTAATGTATGCTTTACGCATGCGCGTGTTGAAAGAAATGTTTAATAAAGTAAACAAATAAATATTAAGCTTTTTTATTTGTAAATTTAGATACCCGTTAGATCATAATTGCTCTTTATTTCATAAATTATGATTTTATATTTTTTTAATTGTATATTTTCTGCATGCCATCTTACCAGATTTAAATTGATGATCTATAATCCGGAATCGCCGAAGTCTCGACGAGTCCAGATTAAAGACTTTTGACTGTAACAATATTTCTGTTTCTGAGTATAGAATTAAAAATATCCTATTGAAGCTAGTAGGAATAATGAAGACAGTAATGAGAAGAAGTATCTCGTACCAGAACTTGCAGTGTATTTATACTCTTTGTGGGACTGGTGTGAAAACAAATTAAATTTGATCCGTTTTCTGATTCTGTAATCATTATGTTCTTTGTTAGTTTTTGTGTGTGCAAGCAAAGCTGAATCGCCTGCTGTTATGTCTCCTATTATTTAAACTTACTATAATAATTTACATAACTTTTATTGGTATAGTTATGATCGAATGCTGAATTCTGCTCTTAATTATTCTTAGATAGCAAAAGTAAAGCAGCTGTTACAATGAACATCTGTAAGATTTTTTTTTTGGATGGGCAGAGGGGGGGACCTTGATTATCCAATTTTTCAGTTATCTAAGTCATTTAAGTTTAAATTTGTATTGATAGTTGAAATTGCACTTTATTAAGCACCCAATCCTCCTAAAAAATAGATCTTATATTTATAATATACATAGTGTTTCAAAAAACGATGGGACAAACTTTAAAAGTTGAGGGAAAACACTTTAAATTAGTTTTTTATTGTAGAGTGCATGGTCGAAATTGAAGCATTTAGGTGCTAGAGGGTGCCTAATGTGAAGCTAAAAATTGAGGTACTTAAGAATGGCAGAAAATGGAAAGAAAACATTTTTGATTCTGAATAATTACTGTAATTGCTGGAGATAGCAATACTAACATGCAATGGCAACAAAGGGTTTAGCTTACTTTCTCGAGCATGCCAGATATATTGCAACTACAACATGATCTGAAATACTTGCTATAACTTTATTATAAGGTTTAGGAAAAGTCTTGTAGATGATGCTGTTCTGATGCCCTCTGCAAAAAGAAATCAAGTCTCAGCAGATCAAGAAATTAAGGGAGCTTTAGCCTCTCCCAATCTTAAGGTCTCGAAAAGAGATATCTAGTTAGTTCTTTGCATCTCATTTTAATTGGGCTGATGCTCCGTCATGCTAGGACATACATAAGGTAGATAAATGGCAAGTGGAACATGCTTTAGCAATTCTTGGTCAAAATAAATATGTTAATTTCATGAGTCAAGTACATGCCTTCTCATTAATCATGTACTCATCCTTTGCCTAAGAAGTTGAAGCTTCAGTTTATTTATGCTTCTTAATTGTGACTTTCTGGAAAGGGCTTTACAGTGCCTTCATGTTTAATTTTGAACTGTGAATTCTGTGAGGAAAAATTGTTTTGATATATTTAACACTTTTTAAGAGAGTTTGTTTGCTGTATCTTTTTTTAAGCATCATGTGTGTGTGTATATATATATATATATATATGTCAAATATTGAATGAACTAAAATTCATTGAAATCGAAAACAAGTTTTTCTAATACTTGTGCAATAGCTGCAAAGTAAGATAATAATAATTTATTTACTAAAGAAATATTGATTATAATTTCTCCTAAAACAAAAATTTAGTAGAATGTATCAAAATGAGGGAACTCAGAAGTAGGAAGTTTGCTTAGAAACATAAATATGTGCAAACACTTCAAAATGCTTTTGCAGATCAATTTTTCATCCTTAAAGATTGAAGCTAGTAAATGCTGATTTTGCTAAATTTGATTATAATATATATATGTTTTTTTTTTCTTAGTATTCTTTGAATTTGATATATTTTAGGAATCAAAATCATTTCCGTGCCCATAATGCTCGTCAGCATTTTGAGCAGCAGAGGTATCCTGTTGGTGACCAGTACAATGATGAAAGGGATCCAGCAGCTACCACCCCAAGGCTAAATAGGAGAGCTAATAATACTGCTTCTGCACCTGTTGTGGCATCTGTAGCATCTCCTACTACAGTAAGGAGTGAAAGCCGGCCAAGAAGGGCAAAACGAAGATCACCATCACGGACTCCTTCTGGATCTAGGTCTAATTCAGGCTCTCGGTCTAGGTCGCGGAGTTCAAGTGGCAGTAGGTCATCTAGTTCCTCATCAAAACTACGCAGTACTTCAAGTGATAGCAGTGGGAGATCACGTTCCCCTTCCAAATCAAGATCCCCTGCGTGAGCTAACTTTTCCAAAATTTATTTCTGGCTATTTTGCCTTTAAAAATTTTTATTTTGCGAAAGTACATCTATTTAATATATAATGTTTTATTTTAAGAATGAGAATATGAGAATGGTATGAAAATTTTCTTTTGGGGGTCTTTATAAAAATCATCAGCATGTTATGCATGTGATGAAATTTTACATTTAGAAATAATAACATATCGTTTAATAAGTCCCGGGATTGACTAAGAAAACAACATTCATTTCACAAAATTCACATTTATTCATCAACATAATCACCATCCAGAGCTATGCAATCATTCCAACGCTTTTCTAACTTTTCGATACCATGCTTGTAAAACGATTTGTGCATGTGTCCGCAAGATAAGCTTCAGTGCCAGCTATGGCTTCTTCATTCGGGGCAAATCTTTTTCTCTGGAGCATCATTTTGAGATCAGCAAATAGCCAGTAGTCACTGGGGGCTAGATCTGGAGAGTATGGTGGGTGGGGAAGCAGAGTGAAGCTCAACTCGTGAATGTAACCAGTGTTTGCATGGACTTGTGGCATGGGGCATTGTCTTGATGGAAGATGATTTTTTTCCTTCATGTGCGGTTTTTCTTTCTTTCTCTCTTTTTTTTTTTGTCCTTCAGACACACTAATAACTCACTGTAGAGGCGCTATTGATAGATTTTCTCTTTTCAAGGTAGTCGTAAATTATACCTCAAACATCCCCAAAACACTGAACCATGCCTTTGCCAGCTGATTGTTACATTTTTGGATGGCTTTTCACCAGCTGCACGCCACTCAGCTGACTGCCGCCTCGACTCTGGAGTGAAATAGTGGATCCATGTGTCTTCCATTGTCACATACCAATGGAAGGAATGCTGGCTATTGTGAATGAACAGTGACAAAAGCTCTGTGATTCGTCAACTCCTTGTTGCTTTTGTTCCATTGTGAGTACACACAGCATCCGTTTGGAAAACACTTTTTTCATGCCCAACTTTTCATGTAAAATCGTAGATGCACTTCCAGTTGATATGTTTACCATCTCAGCAATCTCATGAACTTTCACTTTGCAGTCATTAACACTTGTTTCACATTTTACAGACTTGACTGCTTCATTTGACTTACCTGAGCATGCCGCATTATTTGTATCTGTGCGACCTCGCTTGAAATCAGCATACCAACAGCAAATGGTTGTTTTTGATGGGGTTTTCTGGGTAAGATTTTTCAAGCCATTGCTGAGCTTGCATGGTATTTTAGCTCATTAAAAAGCAAGTTTGATTAACACTCAATATTCGTTTTTCTGCATTTTGTCCGCAAATTAACAAGTAGTGTCACTTTCACCGCAGTAGCTTCGCTGTTTTTGTTCCGAATGCCATGAAAATTAGACATGTGTCATTTGAAGGTTAGTTCTTTCGAAGTCAAGTTGATATTACTAATGCCATCTGTCAGTTAGTCCCAGGAATTATTGAACGATGTGTTAATTTGTTATTGGTTTCATATTAATGTAAGTAACCAGAGGGATGGAACCCTAATTTTGCTAGATTTCTGACTTAGTAATTAAAAAGGAAGAACTTCTATAAGAAAAACACATGAAGAAAGTGATAAACCAGTGTGCCCATTTCCCCCACTTTTAATTTTCAAAGCAAACCCTTCTTCAAAATTGAGCATAATTTAATAATGGTGAGTTCAAAGATATAAATCAAAATCTGGGTTGCCTAAAACAATTATAAACATAACACTTTAAGTCACACTGTAGTACATAAATCTTGTAAGAAGTCAAACTTTTCCATGAACACCTATTCAAAAAATGGATTAAATGTGACAGTTATATATATACGTCAGTCTAAAAGTTAGTTGCACCCCTTCGTAAAAATTTTCTTTCAAAGGCTTTTTTGATAAATCAGACATTCAGTTGTATCATGTGACATAGTTGCCTTCACGAGGTAATTTTAGTTTGTCTGAGAATCAGTTATAAACATGTCTCGATAGCTGCAAGTGGTATTCAAATTGGAAATGCGTTCAGTCCTTCTTTTTTTGTGGGTAAAAGGGTGTAACTCCTGTGAAATTTGTCAGCAGTTGCATGAAGTTTGTGGTGAAAATGCAGTGTCACATCAAGATATTGCGAAGAGGTGCGATGTGTTTTAAAACGGACACACGGATATTGACGACTCTGAGCGTGAGGGAAGACCATCAACTGTCTCAAATTCTGAAAATGCTACTCGCATGAATGAATGCATTCTTGCAAACAGACACATAACAATAGACGAAATCTGTAATGAACTAGATAGTTCTGATGGAAGTGTGCATAAAATTATTGCCAATCAGCTTCAATTTCATAAAGTTTGTGCTCGATGGGTGCCTTGTCTACAGATGGAGGAACATAAATAGAAGAGTTTTGAAAGTGCATTGAAATTTTTGCAATTTTACCAAAAGGAAGGAAATTAATTTTGGGGCAAAATTGTGACTTTAGATGAGTCTTGGATTCACCACTTCTCACCTGAAACAAATTGCAGCTCCCTCGAGTAGAACATTCCACTTCCCAAATTTAGAAAAAGTGTCGAACTGTCCCATCTGTGAAAAAGACAATGCTGATGCTGTTTTTTCACAGGGAAGGTTTGGTGCATACAGAATTCATGCCAAAGGGTGTTACAATTAATGCATCTTTTTATTGTGAAACACTAAAACAATTGAAACAATCACTTAAAAATAGATGGCCAGGTAAACCATCGAAAGGCACAATGCAAGACCGCATGTCACAAAGCAAACATGTGATCTTCTGAAAAAATTTAAGTGGCAAGCATGGGATCACCCTCAAGCCCAGACCTTACTGTGTGGGTCAAGATGGCATCCAACTGGTAAAGTGGTTAGCGTCGTTGACTGCCGTGCCGGAGGGCCGGGGTTTGAATCCCAGAGAAGGCGTAAATATTTGTAAATATATAGTGGTGGTGCAGCATGGCAGCACTCGAAATATGTGGTGAGCCGAAAGTCCTCTCATGTGGTTTGGTGGAAAGGGAGAGGGGTGGGTGATCCTCCCCCCTGTCCCCGGGTTCCTCTCCATCAAAATTGGGTGTGGAACTGAGCTAAATTATTCTGTCACCTGTAAGGTGCTTTAGGCTGTTGCGAATGACAGGCATATCTTGCATTCCTTGCCATAAGGTATTTTGTGGGCTTGGGCTGACAGTAGGTCAGGCAGGTGAGCATTAGTAACAACAGAACTTTTAAAGCGACGATACCACTGCGATGAGGAGGTGAAAGCTGCAACTCAAGAATGGTTATCGAGCATTTTACGGGATTTCTTTACCAGGAATCATCACTTAGGAATAATGGTGTCCACTACAAGTGAGTATTTACCAATCGTTCAAGTTGCCCTTAGGCCAATCGCGGTTGTTTTAGATAATTAATGGATGCCCATTAGCACCCCGCTTGAGCGAAAAGGTCGTAGTAGCAAAGCGATGAGGTTAAGCAAGGGAAAAGTCCTCTCTTTAGCTGTAGCAATCCTCCCTATAGACAGTCAGTAGTGGTTGGCCAGAGCCAGTCACATGGGAAGTCACCCTCCCAAGTTCCGTCCCCAACCGCTGCTTCTTGAAAACGGGTATCCCGTGAGTGCAGGAAATGAAATTTTTGAAAATGATTTAAGTCCATAAATTAACATCGGGAGTTGGGATGTCATCTAATCTTCCTCTTCTGCGATTTTCATAATATACATTGCTGCTCGAAAACCAACTGCTAATTCTTCTGCTGTTCCTTTCGCTGCCCTGATTTTTCCTATCTGCTCGATGATATTTCCAATAAAGTTCTGAATTTTCGGTTCTTGTAACCAAAATATCGCTTTGCTGGCTTCTTCTGGGATCTTCGTAATATTCTTTTTCATTTTCTCACTGAAAAATAGTCTTCTTGAACTTCTCTTTTCTTTTCCAGGAGCTTCAGGAAGCTGCGGGAAATCCTCTTCCTTCTTTTCGAATTCTTTTGGTTTTTGCTGTGCTAGTTTCTTCTCTATTTTCTCAAACTTTTTCTTATATACTTCACACCTGCAGTAACTGCAGACATGATTTTGTTTGCAGAAAATACAAACAAGCTTTTCTTCATGTTTTAGTGGGCACATATTGCTCCTATGTTTTTCTCCGCATTTACAACAACCTACTGCATTAATGCATAGATGTTGCGAGTGTCCCCACTCTTGTCATCCATAGTACTGTGTTGGTCTTTGTAGCGAATTGTACTTTTCAATTTTTATGTTTATGCCGAACATATTGTTTAGTGAGTGGATTGCATAGCCGTTTTTATATTTCTTCTTTATAATTCTAATAGCCATATGGGCAGTTTTTCAAAGTTGTTTCTTCTTCTTCGGCTAAATTGCTTCACTTTTTGAACCGGAAATTTTCTTCTTTCCAAGTCAGCAAAACTGCTTCTTTTGTTATATCTTCTGGAAATTCTTTCAGAATGACTCTGGTGGCTTCTCATGAGACATCAGATATGTGTGAAATAGAATTCCTCTTTCTTTGAGTACTTTCATAACCTTTCTATGATCATCAGCAATTTTAACATTGATAAAAATTACCTTTGACTTCATTTGAGCTTCAAACTCTTCTAAGCATAATTCTCTTAATATTTCTTCTATTTTCAGCTAGTCTACTTTGCCTTGCTGTAAAACAATTGGAGGGGGCATCAGGGTTTATGGTTTCATCCTCATTTGCGTTAATTTTTTCAAGTTCTCTGTATTTTTTTTCCTGAGTAACTGCCATGGTGGTTGCTGTTTCCTTCACTTTCGCTGGTTTTTGCGGTGAGATCCACGGCTCTGAATTTTTCTCCTCTTCCTCGCGTTCTTCGGGATTCTTGCGTTGATTGTCAGTTTCCATTTCATCAGTCTTTTTCGTTGAAATCAGTACTTTCTTGGTGTTCTCCAATTCAGTCTGCCTTTTTAGGAGGAATTTCTCTAGGCTGTCTACCTTCTTCTTTTCATTTTTATTAATTAGGGTCACATCAGATTCTGAAGAAGTTCTTATCTTCTTTTTACTTTTCTTCGCTGGTGATTTTAGGTAATCCTCTTTCTTTAGTGGGAAATGCATACGACCGGGAACTATACTGGGCACCTTGATGTGAGTACGAGACCACTTAGTATTTCAAAAAATTTTCAATTCAAAGTTTTTCTGTGCTTCCACGATGCTCTGTGGCGCGCAGCACAGGGAAGGAAGGCGAACCTCCCTTCCCGAGTGACTTTTACCATACCATGACAAATGCTTAAAAAATGGAGATAATTACGTTGAAAAGTAAATTTTAAATGGAACTTTTAGGATATAAATAAAGTTATTGTTAAATTTCTATCCTGTTTGTTTTCCTAAACGATGCAATTAACTATTTGACTGACTGTCGTATTTAGCACATAAAATAATTTATAAGGAAAAATGCTGTGTGAAAGGTAACAGATAAATATATTAAAATAAATAATCAGGGGTCATCCTTATATTAATATGTAACGGCATTTATTAATTGGTGCTTCCACGTAAAAATTGACGATGTTAAAGAAGAAGTTCATTATCTCTTGTGTACCCGTATTTTTATAAAGTTGGCCTTTGGCTGGGCAGAAAGTTTCACAAAGGTGCCCTCACCTTTGTCAAATTAAAAGATATATTTGAAAAAGAGCAACTTTCCTAAAAGTGCTAACATCTTTATGTTGCACAGTGATGTGGAGCTAAGTTAAATTAACTTGTCTGATTAATAGTTCAAATAAAAATTCTACTTGCTTAGTAGAATCCTGCCATAAATGTTGGGGCACTTATATGGTGGTAATTTTTTCAAGTTAAAAAACTGACCATCATAAGGGTGTGAGCAACAATTGTTTTTGGACACCTTTGTGAAAGTTTTTGTGTTGGTTAACAGCGACTGATTTTTATAAAGAAGCTGCTACTTTAATCATGAGGCACCATTGTGAGTGGTCCAAGTAAAGCTTCAAACTAGTATAAAAAAATATAACCTATTTAAATTCTAAACTAAATAATAACTTCTTCATTTTTTTCCATGAAATTATTTTGCTTGTGTCCAGGATAATTTTTTCAAAATGTGTTTAATTTGTAGTTTTCAATATTTTAAATCTCTCTCTCTCTCTTTTTTTTAACAAGAATTTTAAAATACCCTTGTTTTTGCCTGCTTTTTTAGTGCTTCTTATGGAAGTCAAAGCAATGCTAAGGGTAGTCGGCTTGACAGGCCGTCAAGTGCCATTGCTAATCCCTCCAGCACAGTGTGTTATTTGCCCTCTGCTGTGAACACAACTGCCATAAACTGTACATCTAATAACACTCAAGGGTCGACGCCTTCACAAGGTTGTACTCTAGCAACAGTTGAAAATAATTGTGAAAAAGAAGAAAAGAGGCCTTTAGGAATTTGTGTTAGAAACCTCCCTGTACGATCTACAGGTAAATTTTATTTTTAGTTTTAAAACCTTTCTAATGTTATTTATGAAAATTAGAATAGAGTCATTATTTTCCATTCTTTTTACAGATACAAGTTTGAAAGATGGCTTATTTCATGAGTATAAAAAACATGGGAAAGTCACTATGGTTAAAGTTATAGGACAAGGAACTGATCGTTATGCTGTTGTGTGTTTTAAAAAGTAAGTAGCATTATTTGATATATTAATGAAAAGAATCTCGGAATAATTAATACATGAAATAAAATTTCTCAACAGTTTTGTAACTCAAATATAGAAATAATTTTAAAGTGAAATAGAAAATAAAAGTTGTAGTGTAGTTTTGGATAGTTTGGATTCTCTTTCATGTAGAAATTTGTAGTTACCTTCTGGGAAATAACACACTAGAAATTTGGACATTTGCGAGTCCTGAGTTTTAACAGAATAGAATCGTTTTTTTTCCTTTAAGAAGAGGAATTTATATGTGACTGCCCTTGAGTTATTCAAAAGCTGTGCAAAAATAAGTTCTTTTATAATCTGTTATCACTTTTATGAGTGAACTTTGAGAAAGGTGCATGGAGTTTGTAGTACACTTAAAGACCATATTGTATGGAAGTGACTCAGAAATTTTTCAGATATCTGTAGATGATAAATAGAAGAGAAAAATTAATGGTTAGATTTGAAAATATGAAGTATTTTAACTTAGTGGACAATTTTTTATTGGCCAATTGCAAGTTGTTCAGCATAGAATAAATTTTAGGCAGAAGAAAAAATGGAGTTAATGCAAAAATATTGTTGCACTATGATTTTGAAGTAGGATTAAATAAAAGAGCATGCATTCAACATTTACGATTAGCATTTGGAAATGAAGGTTAATCTCATGGCTACTGTATTTAAGATGGTTTACAGAATTTCAGAGGTCGCAGCTTTCTTTGGTATGAAGGAAACACAGGAATCCCCATAATTTAATAGGTTCAAAAAGAGGAGCATGTCAGAATTCAATTACTTAAAGATGATGGCCACTGCATTATTTCTAAAAGTGTAACTGGTGATGAAATGTATACATCATTTTTTGATGTTCCAGCATGTAAAGAAAGTAAATTATGGGTCTTTGAAGATGATCCCATGCCCATAATGGTGCAAAAACGGTGTGCCGTGAAAATGGTAATGTTTGTCGTTTGCTCCAGAAGTACAGGACCTGTGTCAAATCCATCAAGCTAGAAGGATAGGAGACAGTCCCATCTAACTGGTACACCACTAAGTGTCTTCTAGAAATTCTTCAAGAAGTGAATGTTAGGGGACTCATTCTCCATCATGACAATGCATCTTTTTATTTAGCAAGATTGACAGTTGAGTTCTTTTAACAGAAACACATGAAAGTGATAAAACATTCACCTTATTCACAACGATCTAGCTATATGTGACTTTTGGCAATTTTTTAAACTTACATGGACATAGTTTTCATTCTGAAGACGAGATTTATGAAGCTATAAATGTATTTTTTTCATCGATTTCAATGAATGAATGGCTTAAGGCATTTAATCTTTAGAAAATTTGCCTGCAGAAGTATATTGATGCTGAAAGAGATTACTTGGAACACTCCTAAAATTTCGTAAGTGTAACAAAAAAAAAAAAAAAAAAAATCCTGTCTCAAAAATTCCAGTGACCCTATATCGAACTTAAACAACTGTACAGAACTCATTTATATGTCAAAGGTTTTAAAATTTGCTACGCTTATTTGCTTCTAATTACCCTTTGCTCTCAGATTTAATGGTATGTTTAAAGTATTTTATTTTTAATGATTTTATATTTTTCTGTATATTTTAAATGCATATATGTATGGAAAATAGGAAGCATCTTTATGCTTTGATGTAAAATGTAGAATAACTGAACAATTTCTTGTAATGTCTCTGTTTTATTTATTTACTCAAAGAGGTAAAGTGTGGTTAGCTATATATTAAGCAAATAATTTCTTCAAATTAATTTTTTTAAAAACCTTCTGAGTAACAATTTAGTAGCTTTTTTAAGTAGTCATAAAAACTGGATTTATGAAGCAATTATTACTATTTTTTGTTCAATGATTTTCTGTTCTGTTTGTTTGGATTCTGTTCTGTCTGTTTGTTGTATTTGATCTGGATATAAATATGATTAGTTATTTAAGAAAGTAAGGTAATTGGCACTTCAGGATTAATGTGGTCATCTTGGCTGATTGATTGATTAATTACCAAGGTTAGTAAATATAATCCAGATTTTAAACTTACAGTAGATTTTATTTCCAGACTGTTTTGACAAGGGTTATTATCGTGATGATATTGTCAACAATATACAGTCAAAAGTCGTTAATCCAGACTCGTCGGGACTCGGGGCGATTCTGGATTATCGATTTTTCCGGATTATAGATCATCAGTTTAAATCTGGTAGGATGGCATGCAGAAATAACAAAATTAAAAATATGAAACCGTAATTTATGAAATAAAGAACAATTATGATCTGAAGGGTATCAAAATTTACAAAAAGAAAAAGCTTAATATTTATTTGTTTAATTTATTAAAAATTTCTTTTAATGTAAGTTGTTTAAGTTGCTTCGTTTCATGAGATGATACTTTCTCTTTAATTCTATTAAACAGACATAATTTCTTGTTTAGTTAAACGTTCCGCTGTTCAAGTCCTATAATTGCTGTGTCGAGAATACCGACTAATTTGTCAATTGAAATTTTTTCGTTTTCAATAACCTCTGTCCCTTTCTTCACTATCGGAAGCGAATTATAATGATGAGGAACTTGTTTTAGATCATATCAAAGACGTAGTACATCGAGATGAAATACTACATTTAGTAAAGAATTATAAGCCAAATAAAATAAAAACATCTGCCCTGGAGATAAGGATAGTGCTGACAGATCAATTTCCAATTCATTGCGCGCCGCGGCATTCCCCCCGCCGAGCAGCATGAAATTGATAAACAGATTTCGGATTTCGAAACATACCTTCACTTTAGATCCTTTACATATTAGCAAATATATATCGGAAATTCTATTTGATATAATCGAAAGTTCAAGCTTACTTTTATAAAATTTCTCTAACAGTCTGCAAAAAATAATAAGCCGGATCCAATTCGAAGATTAAGGAACAACGCAATCTGCAACATTAACTGAATTAGATAATTTTAGCTTATACCGTCCGTTATACATTAAACATGCATGCGCGACGCATGCGCAGAAAGTTTATAGCTTTGAGGTCTGGATTATAGATCATTCCGGTTTATGGGTGTCCGAATTAACGACTTTTGACTGTATATCATTAGCAAGGAATAATTTCATGGATTATATACGAGCACATGAAAGCTGCACAGTTAGATATGGAATATACTGGAACAGTATGTAAATACCAAGATAGTATTTAAACTTTGTATTTATATTCAGTGAGTACAGCTATTAAGCGTTCTATTAAGCTTCTCACATTGCTAACATATCAAAAGACTTTTAGAGATTTTGCCACTTGGGGGAGTGAGGGCAAGCCTTGGAGTGTTCTCTCATCAAGCCCACCTTTTGTTCGAACAGTTGTGGTTGCATGTTTTAGACTATTGGCGAGACATGACTGTCTACAGAATCATTTATTTCGCATTGGACTAGCTCAGTGGTCGGCAAAGTGCGGCTCCAGAGTCGCATGTGGCTCTTTGGCTCCTTAAGTGCGGCTTTGGTACAACTATCCACGGAAGGCGCAATAATATTTTCAGTAAAAAAAAAAAAAAAAAAAAAAAAAAAAAAAAAAACACTTGGTAAGAAAAAAATTACATCTTATTTTGATAAATTAAAATTCTTCTATAAATCGAGAACGTGTATAATTTTTTGTTTGAGTAAAAAGATAGATAGGTAATTAAAATTTTTATTGTTGTAAAAATAGGTAATGAACATTGAGTTGAATTAGTTTTCGTAAACGAAACATAAACCATGTACAAGCTACCGGCATGTGCGTGCATGCTTTTTATAAAGTAGTGAAGGTGCAAATTGGCATCACAGAGCAGCAGTTGCAGTGTGAACAGTTTTTGTCTTATCTACCGTGTCTGCGGTTGTCCTGTCTTATTAAAAAAGTTGTTGTATTTTTTAATCTAGCTGCACATCTTACAGGTATTTCTATACAGTTTTATTACACCTGCTATGTATGTTTGTGGTTCCGGTACAAAATTTGTATTCGATTTTTCGATAACTTCTATTTATCCAAATGTTGGAAGTTTACTTCCATTTTTGGTCATATTAAAAGTTTTGTTATTCTGATGATGGAAAAAATTATTTTTTTCTTTTTAGTGCAGTTACATATATTAATAAAATTGTATTTTTTAAAAAGATTTAACAAATTTTTATTTTTATCAATTTAATAATGATAATAATTTTGTGCTGGTGGCTTTAGAAAAAAATATATTTGGAATGGTTTTATAGGCACCCCAATTAACATGGCTACCATAAAAAAAGCAAAGAAAAATGGTAGATGAAAACCACGAATTTAAAGTTGAGTTGATCGAGAATTTTGCATTTATTCAAAAGTCGAATGGACTTCTGACATGTCTTATGTATAAGGAGAAATTCACGCATAGCAAGAAGTCAAATTTAGAGAGACACTTTACAAGAAAGCACGCATCATTTAAGAACTAAATATCCTACCAGTGATGCAAGGATAGAAAGCAGTTTAGGAACTTCAGAAGAGTCAAGTGTCGTCAACTTCTGTGTTTAATAACTGGATGCAATCTTCCAGCAATATTAATATGGCAAGTTTTGTTTGTAGCCAAGAGATTGCTAAAAGCGGAAAACCGTACACAGACGGCGAATACACAAAAAATTGTTTTATAAGTGCATCCGAAGAGCTATTTCGGGATTTTAAGAACAAAGCAGATATTCTGAAAAGAATTAAAGAGTTACCATTGCCAAAACCATTAAAGATAGAGCAATTAAAATGTGTTTGAATATAACCACCTAGCATATCCAAGATCTAAAATTGGTTTCGGCTTTATCAATAGCAGTTAGCGAGTCTTGTGACTTAAATGATACAGCGCAAGTTTCACTTTTTGTAAGATTTATGTCTCATTCAGGCCCTAAAGAAGAACTTTTAGGATTATTGCCACTCAAAGTTCAGACGCGTGGAGAAGATATCGCCAATGCTGTAATTGAGTGTATGGATAAACATCATATTCCCCTCAATAAAATTGTGTCGATTTCAACAGATGGGGCCAAAAGTATGACTGGCGTAAGAAAAGGGGTTGTTGCTATTTTGAAAGAAAAAATTAATCTCGAGATACTCATTTACCATTGTATCATTCACCAAGAAGCGCTTTGTGCGCAAACATTTCCGGAAGAAATTTGTAAAGTTATGGAATTAATGATTACCATTATCAACTCCATTTTAGCTAAAGCTCTTAATCATCGCCAATTCAAAGAATTTTTATTTGAAATGGAGAGTGAGTACACTGATCTTCTGCTTCATAACAAGGTACGTTAGTTATCAAGAGAGAACGTTTTAAAACGTTTCGCGTCCCTTTTTCCGGAAATTAAAGCATTTCTCCTTGAGAAGGGCGTTCACTATCCAGAATTAACAGACGATCAGTGGATTTAAAACTTTTATTTCATGGTAGACGTTGCGTCTCATCTACCAAAACATTCAACATAGATACATCGTTGATCTGCCAATCAGTATTTATTATACTTTCCTTTCATCACCACATGTTTATCAACACATGACAACTTGAGTAATGATGCCTAAACAATTTTTTATGTTAGTAATTGAATATTAAAGTAGTATGGTAACCTTTTATGTTGACATTGCACTTGGCGATGATTACTGATTTAAGTTAAATGTGCTAAAAATGTTGACGAGGAAAAATTTAACAAAAATTTCTCTCCGTATGCTAAAAACAGATTTTTGTTGATGATACTGATAGAACCAAAGATTACATTTATGGCTGTTTGAATTAAGAATAACTAATTTGTTATTAACATAAACCCAGAACCAGCACCAGGGCTTGTATGGCCACACCGGGCCTAATTTCTACATGCTGTTTTACTATATTTAAACTGATGATATAATCTGAAAAAAGTCCCAAATCCGGAATCGCTGAAATCCCAATGAGTCCGGATTTCAGACTTTGTACTGTATTTATACAATTCAATTATAATATTTACGCAAAATCTGATTTTTTTTTTTTTTTTTCCAAATATAGTTTTAAAATTTATCTATCTTTAGGCCAGAAGATGTGGACAAAGCTTTGGAAGTCTCTAAGGATAAGTTGTTTTTTGGTTGTAAAATTGAAGTTACAGCCCATGAAGGCCTAGATGCTGAGGACAATGAATTTAGGCCTCTAGAAGCAGAATTAGATGAGTTTCATCCAAAAGCAACACGGACGCTTTTTATTGGAAATCTGGAGAAAGATATTACAACTGCGGAATTGCGGAAGCATTTTGAGCAGTTTGGGGAAATAATAGTAAGTGGGCCATCCAAAATTCTAGAAATGTATTTATTGCATTGGAAGATTATTTGAAAGTAATGAGTTCTACTTTTTTTTTTTTTTTTTTTTTTTTTTTTTTTAATTTCATTTGATTTATAAAAAATTGGTCATGTGACAACTTTTTAGTTTTCAGAAATATGTTAATAAGTTATCAGTTTAAATCTCATCTTCTCTGCATTACCTCTCATGGTGTAACTGATTAGCACATCCAGCTAAAAAGATCTGTTGTTTGAATTGTGCCAAGGGAAAAGTTGGATCTTCCATGTTTCTTGTAAACCAATACACCATATTCCCAGTAAACTTTTACAGTGATGCACCCACATTAAAATGTACAAGAAGGTAATTAGTTGCTCTTTGAAATGAAGAAGACTATAAGGAATTACTACATTCTCTCATATCAGTTACCTCATCTAACCATGGAAGATCTGTGGCTCAGCTCACTGGGAAAGCACAGTTGATTTTTCACATTTATCACTCCCAAAATCCTAATAATCTCTATGATTACTGCCCAAGTTAATAAGAATGCAGTATGTTTAGTGAATTTGATAAAATTCGATTTTATTTTTAGATAGGTTTTTAATGAAAAAAGCATATTACAGGATAAGCTGATGTGGGTTTGGTGGGACTGCTGACTAACTGTCTTGGTATCTTCTCATTTATTAAAAAATCAGTTTTAAATGTTATTGAATTTAGTTAATCTAAGAACATTTATTTAGATATATTGTACATTGTTGATTTTCAATTCATTTTTGTTAAATTCCCTCCCCCCAAAACAAATAAAATTATTTCTTCCTTCTATGTATTTAAATAAATTAACTGTGGCCTGATAATTGGAATTCCCTTGCTTATAGACTGGATTGTGGTATAATTTTATTTTTTTTTTTTTTTTTTTCCCTCTAATGCTAATTTTTCTGTGTTACAGTTTGATGGTGTTTATGTTTTGTTGTAATGTTTCTATTTGCAGTGTGATTTTATTTCTTTGCATAATTTGTGCTTACCAAGTAGTGTTTTCAGATGTAATAACAAGCTCCTAAAGAGTGTTTTTTTATTTATTTTCGTTCCCCCCTTTTTTATGTTATTAAAAAATTTTTGTTAATTTTGTTGTGAAATTTTTTTACAGCTGGAAATTTCATGGAAATGTATGAAATGTATTATTTCAAAACAAAATTATTTAAGAAACTTGGTTTCATCTGTAAAAATATTGATACTCCAGCTATGAAAATGCTAGATTTAAAAATAAAGAGAAAATGAGCATGAAAATATTAGATTTCTGCATGCACCTAAATGCTATTTATTTAAAAGAAATGACGTTATGTATATTATGAATTGGAAAATTTTCGTTATCAGATAGCATGAACAGTTCATACTCGTCTTCCATTATATTTTCAAACACATTATCAAATTCTGTTTAAATTTCGCCATCACTGTTAATCTGGTCTATAAATAATCATCTTCTGTTCAATCTAGATTATTAGATATACTACTTTTTAAAATCATTTTTGAATTATATCAGGTTTAATTTCATTCCTTCCTTTCACTATCCACTCATGTATTATTTCTAGAATGGAGTGATGCATTTGACCTTCTTTCGTAAATATTTCCTCACCTTCCAACATCCATGTATTTCCACTGTCGTTTTAAATTTTCTTTAAATGGTTTATTGATACACACACATCTTAAAGACTGGCATTAATCAGCCTGAAATAACTGCCATGTGTGTATTGCACTTTTTCAACAGATTCTTTTCATTATCTATTAGATGCGACCTGAGCTAAAAGACCTTTTGAATTCTTTAAGGCAGCAGAATGTGTTTGCCAAGGATTTCTTATCCACAGTTTCACACCATTTTCATCCATTCATCCTTTCTCATGAAACTTTGGAAAATTATATTTCAGCATTGTCTTTCTTTTAAAAATAACCATAGGTTTTAACTTTGTACCATCAGCTAAGGAGGAAAGCACTATGAGGTGATATTTTTTGTGGTCTATTGTTTTTATGTGAACCGTTTTTGTTCCTTTTACATAATTTTATTTCGTACTTTATCAAACATTACTGGAGTTTCATCCATATTTCCAGTATGTTACAATAAATAATTTTTATTTTTGCTTTCGTAGGTCAGTAACATATTTCTGGAAACTTATCAATTAGTTGTCTTAATCTTTCGTCAGCCTTTGCAAAACTTTTCTTTTTCTCATAGAACTAAATTATTCCATGCCATAAAGCAATTACGCCAACTCAAAGTTGCTTTAAAGTTTTATCTTTCATTTGCATTCTTTTTTGCCCACATTAAAGAAATAAACATGTGCACTGCTTCTTGTTACAATTAATCCTTTCTGGCAGTTTTTTAGGGTAGACTTATTTCATTACTCCTTTGTGCAAAGCACATTTATTCTTTGGCATATTAATTATTGTGATTTCATTCTTCTTCCACTCGATATGGAATTATCATCAATATGAAACATCCTTGCTGCAGCATGATTTCTGTTTTTTTTTTTTTTTTTTTTTTTTTTTTTTCCCACAGATTGAATGATTGAAACCAGCAAAAATGAACACTGGATCAAATTTATTTCAACTAAAGCAAATACAATTGACTAAAGCTTTTAAGGTTCAAAGACACACTTTCAAATCGCTACAGAAAGAGATAACGTCTGACTGCTAATTCAGCAAATTCATTCAGGTTGGAAGTGCATCCCAAATATATGACCTTCTTTTCTCGAAACCATAGAATAACATTCTTGCACACACCTAGATTGAATACAATCCACCCCCTTCACAGAGTTATTTACTCCCTCAAGAATCCACCCCCCATATTTTGTTTCCCTTATCATTTGCGAGTTCAGTATGCCATTGTTCGAAAATACGAGAAAAATCTTTGAATGAATGACTTCAAAAGGTAAGAGCCTCATAGTGTGTTTATAAATGAATGATGCGGTTTTAAAAAATTAATTATAAATCAATGTATTACTTTATATGGGTAAATCTTACAGCATAAGCAGTGACAACTGTCAAAGTTTTTGTTGCATTAACCACATTCCTTCAATATATGCACCCTTGTTGACACGACACACTTCTACATGGTATAAAAATTCTTCCCATACTTGGTGTAGCATGTCTGCCATGATAGTCTGCAGTTCATGCTTTATCCAGTCACATACTTCCTCAAGGGACATGGCATTGGTGGTACATGAACTCAGTCTTTGACGCGTTCCCAAAGAAAGAAATTGCATGGGGCTAAATAATCCAGCAAGCAGGGTGGCCAGAGGAGAAGGTTGTTGTCTGCTGTTGCAGTACGTCCTATGCAGTGTTGGTGAAGAACACAAGAAGCTCTCTTACATTTCTGTAAAAATGGGGTGGAGCACCATCTAGTTGCAAAATGTGATTACCATAATTGATGTTCAGCTGGGGTAACCACCACATTTCCAACTGAGTCACTGGTCACAGTTCTTTGTTTAAAGAAAAATGGGCCATGCACTTTTTTGTAGGACACCACACAGCAAACATTCACCTTTGGAGAATGGTGCCGATGCTCTATCTATGTATGTTGTTTCTTGCTTCCTCAGAAATGGACATTGTGTTTGTTCACCTTGCCACTTGAGAGTGGCTTCATCATAGAAGATGAGTCTTTCTACAAAACCATCTGCCTCCATTTTTAACTGCATCTTTTCACAAAAGGCATGCCTTTTCACTTTGTCTGCTGGTGTAAGGACGTGCACTCATTTCGCTTTGCACAGTTTAAAGCATAGCTCCTTATGTAACACCTTCCACACCATATTTTTTGGCATGTCCAATTTCCTGCTTACTTCACTGAGTGACTTGCAAGGACTTTGCTGATGTGCAATGCTGATTCTTTCAGCATTTGCATGAGACTCACGAGGTTGACCATAACTTTAGCCTTTACAAAGGCATCCAGTTTTCGTGAACTGTTGGTACCATCTACTTATGATATTCTTGAGTGGTGGATTTTTCCTAAACTATGCACGAAACTTGCATTGCACTTTAACTACAGATCTGGACACCTCAAGGCGGAGCACACAGAAAGTCTTTTCCTGTTGTTATGCTATTTTGGAAGCTGGTGCTGTAAATGTGCAGTAAGCATGACAAGCAAACGGCAAGTAATGCATAAGAAACTTCGACAGTTGCCAATGCTTCAGTGTAGGTTTTATCACAAGTAAGGAAATAAATATTGATTTATTATCAATTTTAAAAACCGTATCATTTATATACACCGTGTATCTTTAAGGTTTCTTCCTAAAGAAAAGGGTGTGCGTTATATGGGAATATACCTAAAAATAAAAATATATAATTTGAAATTATTGATGTACGTCATACGCTGGAATATATGGTAATTTCACTTCTGTTCTATATATTTTGCTTTTTAGTAGCATTCTTTTCTTAAAACTAAAGGGTGTTTTCTATCATAGATTAGTAGAAGTTTCTTAATATTTTATTTATGTAAATTGTATTGTGCATAGCAATAATTAATTTCTTCTAATCAGTCAAGTTTTTATGCATTTTGGGAGGAAAAAAAAATGTTACTTTAAATTTAGAATGAATAATAACTATTTTTTCTTTACATAGGAAATTGACATTAAAAAGCAAGGTGCTCAGACATCCTATGCATTTATCCAGTATTCTGACATTGCAAGTGTTGTGAAAGCTATGAGGAAGTTGGATGGTGAAAATTTAGGTGCTAATCGAATAAAGTTGGGTTTTGGAAAAAGCATGCCCACGAACTGTGTTTGGTTAGACGGCATTGTGGATACTGTATCTGATAAATTTCTTGCTCGCCATTTCAGTCGATTTGGTATTGTGGTCTACACAGCTGTAGATCGTGAAAAAGGCCATGCACTCATTTTTTATGAATCTGTAGAATTTGCCCAAATTGCTGTTTCTGAAATGAGGGGCAGGATCCTTCAAGGCAAAAAACTACAGGTAATGAAATATGTGAATACCTCTGTATGAATTCATTCATAAATTAAAATTTTTTTTGCTGGAATATTAAATTATGTACATTTTTCTTGTTTTTTTTAAATGTCACAATAACATATTTTCGATATGGCTTTTCTTGCTATGTAACTTGTTGTGTTTTGTAACTAGTTTATTTCTTTGGATGTGTTTATAAAGCGTAATTCCAAATTTCTTTTATGCATCGGTGGCTGCTAAAATGGGAGAATGCCCGAATTTGTGCAGACTGTAATGCTACATTCATTATCTGCGATTCACACTTTAAATGATTGTCTAAATCTTAATATCTTTGAATGAAACATTTTGGCTTGTTCAGCCCATCTCTGTTTTAATTAATTGGAATCAATCCACATTTTAATCTGTTATAATTTTTAAAAGATACATAGTATAAAAGTTTAAACTTTATAGTTTTTAAAAGATTCAAATTGGGTATAAATTGTGAAACATTAAATGTTAGTTATATTTTTAACCCAAGCAAACTGTTTTTAACACTGTACCAAATTTTATACTAGTACAAATTGTTTTATTATTGTACTAGGATATTTCAGTTTCTTTTGTGCATTATTCTTTTAACCTTGATGGCAGTTTTCGATTCTTGCTTATTCTTCCTATTATTGTGTTGTAAACCTTTTAAAGCTTCTAAGCAGTCTAAATCTCTTCTTAAGGAAGATGTAATTCAATGCGTTCTGATTTTAAATTGCATTTCTTTCATGTGTTTGTTGTTTTGTTTCTAAATTTGTTTTTATTTTATCTACATAGGAAGCATATCTTTGGATTTCATAAAAAATCACATCGCCAAGATTTTTTTGGGGGGGGGATGGTTTGTAATGTAGCAGACCTTTTCATAATATACCTGGATCATGCTAAATTGGCTACACAGGTATAATAGAGTGTATAAACACAACAGAATCAAAATACTAAGTGCAGTCTTTAAAAACAGTCTTTACAAAATCATACTTGCATACTCCTGTAGGTCTAAGTAGACAGGCTAGAACTTTTCCTGTTGAAATTTCAACTTTAAAGGGTAGTGCACAGTGAAGCATGAAATAAATATAAATTATAAGATAGTTACTTTAGAACAGGTGTTTCCATTGGGGTCAGTATTGGTCTTTCGTGGCCAGTGAAATTTAAAAGGGAGTCAATTATGATCTAGGTATTGATAGCTAATACTCATCAATAACTGATCAGCATAATCAAGATCCCATTGATTACAAATAATAATAGTAAAATTGATAATAAATTGTTTATTGATATAAAGCTGTATCATGTGGTAAGGAAGAAATCTTATAACTAAATACAGTACAAAGTCTGTAATCTGGACACGTCGGAACTTCAGCAATTCCAGATTAAGGGTTTTTCCGGATTATAGATCATCAATTTAAATCTGGTAAGATGGCATGCAGAAATTATACAATTAAATATATGAAACTGTAATTTATGAAATAAAGAGCAATTATGATCTAAAGGGTATCAAAATAAAAAAATAATAATAATAAAAAAAAAAGCTTAGTATTTATTTGTTTACTTTATTAAACATTTCTTTCAATGCAAGTTGTTTAAAGATGCTTCCAGGAAAAATTCAAGAAATTCCTTTTTCTTTTCTCTTGTGTCATCCAATGCCATACTCCTCGCATAATTTTGAGAGGGATATGCCTTTATCCATTTTTTGCAGCAATTCCACTTTTTGTTTGATGGACATCGAAACATGGTTTCACTTTGTAGATCCTTTGGCAGCTTCAGAATTGGAAACTCTTTTTGACATAAGTTCAAGTTGGTGGGTAACAATGAATGAAACAATGGTAACAATGTTGTTGGGTAACAATGTAATGAAAGTTCAAGCTTAATTTTTATAAAATTGCTCTAACAGTCTCCAAAAAATAATAAGCCAGATCCAATTAGAAGACTAAGGAACAGCATAATCTGCAACATTAACTGAAATGCCTTAGAATCAGTAAAGGTAATTTTAGCTTAGCTTATACCATCTGTTATACATTAAACACGCATGCGTAAATGAGCTACGCACATGCATAAACACATTACGCGCATGCGTAAAGCACACAAAAAAAAAGTTTGTGGCTTTGAGGTCCGGATTATGGATCATTCCGGATAATGGATGTCCGGATTACGGACTTTGCACTGTAAAGTACAGAAATTACTTAATAAATTTTAAAAATCAGTAATATATTTTAATATGTAAATTTTTAAGGGCAGTGTAAAAAAATTAAACCCTAAACATAAGAAATCACAACCATAAAAGAGGAATGCAGAATTTCCTCAGAAGATATAATGTTAAATATAAGCTGCTTGCAAAATTTAAAAGATTTTGTTGTTTACTTCCAAGACATTTAAATATACCAGTATGGCTCAAAGAACCGTTAAATCATGATGATGCAAGTAGAGTTGATTGCTTTGAAGAAGGATGTTTTATTACTAGGCTAGTCCAAATCACTAAATTTTGAAATTTAAAAGTCATTCAAGAGAAATATTCCTTAGTAGAAATTGTTACCCAACAACAACCTTGACTTTTCCTTCTTCGAAGAAGCAGGCTTTAGTCAAGTCAATAATTTACTACAGAAACCTTGAATGATATGATTAATTAAGCAATTTTATACCAAATATCATCCATCATAAATTAAAATCAGACTTTCATGCAATTAAAATTTTTGTTGTGGTTTCTTAAAAACATATATATGTGAAAAAGTAAAAATAATTATAATACAAAAATAATATAAAAAAAATATTTTAAAAAAATCTGAAGGCCTTCAGATTAAATATTATGCCCAAAGGGGCTTTTTTTTTAAATGTTGTGTGTGCTACCTTTATTTATTAAATATCATGTTCCATAAAACCATAAAATTCAATCCACTAAAACACTAAAACCATAAAATTCAATCCACTAATTCCACTAAAACTATAAAATTCAATCCAACAGCAATATCGCAAAATATTTAAAAGAGCATATCTTTAGAATTTTCGATACAGTCTCTCATGCTAGAGGTATGCTTTTTATTTACTAAGGTAATCGAGAGAAGTATAATTTACAGATTAGCACATAAAAAATTAAATCGCTGGTTATAATTTTCTCATCCTGCATTGCCATTATTTATTAAATTTCAAATAAAGTTTGCATAAGGCAGGATCCTGTAATTTTGTAAATATCCTACTGCATGATGGTGTTCTGTTTAGGGCATATCATAAGTTATGTTCTTTTTTTCAAAATGCAAGGGGAAAACAAAGAGCAGTTAACTTATATCCTTCCTCCTTATCGAGAATTCCAGATTTACATCAAACCAAAGTGAAGGTCGTGTGTTCTGATGTCGTGCTGATCTGTTATTAGTGTTAAATCATACTGTTTGGAGACAGTTATTGTTTGTTCCAATTCATAGTGCTATATACACTTTATGATGTCTCTAACCTATGCAGCTCTAACCTCTAAACCTATGCAGTCACTCCATTTATTTATACCACATGCAATAATATCAGAAATAATGTACATAACAGTAATAAATAAAGGAATAATATGACTGAATCTCACAGGGAGGTGTATTGCTCTTCCCGAACGAGATTTTGTTGGAGGCCTTACCTCTTTACTTTGGGAGTAAAATGGTACTGGACATACAGAACTGGAAATGGTCCCTCATAGGCTTTGGGAGGTGTGTTTAATAACTGACGGTTTGTTATCAGCAATGCTTAGGTTGGAATCTGTAGGCATAGGCTGTGTATTTAAGGTATACGCAGGTTTAAGTCTATCTACAGAAATTTTCACTGGTTTCCATTTAATTGACAAAGAAAAATATTTGTCCTGCCTGCCCAGAACTGGAAATGGTCTCTCATAGGCTGGTTCAAGTGGCTTCTTGATTCTATCCAGTCGAATAAACACTTGTGTACAAGAATCTAAATCTTTGTGCACAAACACTTTTTGTTGTGATGCACTTTGCATTTTCACTGGTTTGAGGAGTGCCATGTGTTTTTACAATTTATTCACAAAGCTATCAGGCTCTATTTCACAAGTTGGCTTGTCAAAAAATTGACCTGGAATCCTTTATGTTGGTTCCATACACCATTTGAACAAGAGAATGATTACTATCCTTTCTAATAGCTGCTCTGAGGCCAAGAAGCACTGTAGGTAGAACTTCAGTCCATTTGATTGAGTTGTGAGCTTTAATTGCAGATTTTAGGTTCTATGGAAACGCTCTATTTTCCCATTACATTGGGGATGATAGGGCGTGGTGTGGCAAATCTTAGTACCGCATGTAACAGCCAAATTTTGAAACAATTGTGATGTAAATTGTCTCCCTTTGTCTGTCACAATTCTATTTGGAACTCCAAATCTGCATATCCAGTTTTCATAAAATGCTCTGCTAACTAATTCTGCTGTAATGTCTTCCAATGGAATCCCCTCAACCCAAGAAAAAAATCTGTCGATACATGTAAGGCAGTAAATTTTTCCATTTGAGGGAGGCAATGGGCCTATTAAATCGATATGGACCACACTGAATCTGGAGTCTGCTTCTTGGTATTTTGCCAACTTTGACTTTGTGTGCCTGGTCACCTTGACTCTCTGACAGCTAACACAACACCTGGCCCATTCACTTGAATCTTTCTTGATATTTGGCCATACAAACCTGGAAGTCATCTGCTTAACTGTAGATTTGATGCCAGGATGCGAAAGACCATGTATATGCTGGAATATCTTTCTTCGAGATGGTTAGGTATGTAGGGACGAATCTTGTCTTGGGAAGTATCACACCATAAGATGTGTCCAGAAGGGAGCTTATAGCTTTTGAAAATCAATGAAGTCTCTCCATCAATTAACTTTCTCAGCTCTTCATCCTTACCTTGTTCCAGTGCAATCTTTTCCTAGTCGATAACAGCAATCTCTTCCACTCGAGACAGGGTATCTGCCACAATATTCTCTTTGCCTATAATGTGCTGGATGTTAGTGGTAAACTGAGAGATGTACTGAAGTTGTCTCAATTGCCTTGGTGATGCTTTTTCATTATTTTGCTTAAAAGCAAAAATTAGAGGTTTATGATCAGTAAAGATTGTAAACTCTCTACTTTCTAACAAATGTTTAAACTATTTTATAGAGAGATATATTGCTAGTAATTCTCGGTCATATGTGCTGTATGCCCTCTGTGCTTCATTTAATTTCTTCGAGTAGAAAGCGATGGGTTTCCAGCTTCCTTCCTCCAGTTGTTGGAGTACTGACCCTATTGCCCAGTTTGAGGCACCTGTACATAAGGATAATAGGCAATCAGGTTTGGGAAATGTTAATAAAGCAGTGTTAGCCAAATCTGTTTTGCACTTTTTGAACTGCAATTTAGCTTCCTCTGTCCCATATAAGTTTTTGTTTATCCTTCTTCTTAGCACCTTTGAGCATCTCGTGGAGAATGGCTTGTGTTTCTGCTGCATTTTTAAGATATCTGCGGTAGAAATTTACCATACCTAGGAAAGTACGTAAGTTCATGAATTGTTGTTGGCAATTTGTAATTCAAAATCACTTGCACGTTTGCAGGGAGAGGTCTTGAACCTGCAGCATTTATGAGATATCCGAGAAATTCTATTTCTTCCACTCCAAACACTGATTTTGATATATTGATGCATAAACCATATTTGTTTAATCTTTCAAACACTAGTTTTAGGTGTTTACTATGTTCCTCTTCTGATGATCAGGCTATTAATACATCATCCAAGTAAGGGAACACAAAATCAAGACCTTGACCAATACTTCATGCACAAAATGCTGAAAAATCATGCACAAAATCAAGACCAAAATGCACAAAATCAAGACCTTCATGCACACTTCATGCACAAAATCAAGACCAATACTTCATGCACAAAATGCTGAAATGTTGATGGTGCATTCCTAAGTCCAAAACTCATTACATTAAACACAAATAACCCAAATAGAGTAATGATAGCTGTTTTTGGCTTATCCTCTTCTGCAATTGGGATTTGGTAATATTAACATTTGAGATTATGCACATCGCTTTTAAGAGATCTAATTTGGAGAAAATGGATTTCCCACTCAAACTGAGATGAAAATCTTCTATCCTTGGTATAGGGTACCTGTGTGAGATTGTCTGAGCATTTAGTCGTCTATAATCCCCACAAGGTCTTAAGAGTTCCATCTTTTTTGTTTACTAAATGTAGAGGACTGGCCCATTGGGATTTTGATGGTTGGATAATATCGTTATCAAGCATAAACTTGAATTCTTGCTTTGCCAATTTCAGTTTTTTGCATCCAGCTGTCGTGCATGTGCATATACAGGTTGGCCTTTTGTACAAATATAGTGTTTAACATTGTGCTTTGTTTGTTTATTTAGTACATTAGGTTTAGTGATATTAGGGTACTGTCGTAGCAGTTCAGCAAATTTAATAAAAGAATTATTTATGGTAGATATAACATGATCAACACGAATTGACATTATATCACTTGAGACTTTAAGTTCAGTAATGCCATCAATTAACTGTTTCTTTTTTTATCAATTAATAAGTGACATTGATTCAAAAAATCTGCACTTAATATGCCTTTGCTGACCTTGGCAATGATGAACGGCCATTGGAATGGGCATCTCAGTCTTAAATCTACAGTAAGTACCTTTATACCAAAAGTTGGTATTTCTGTCCCATTAGCAGCATATAATTTGTAGTCACACGATCCCTTTGTTGTAGAATATGCTGGCAGCAATGATACATCTGCTCCACTGTCCACTAAGAACTTTAGTCCTGAATTTCTATCCTTTATAAATAACCAGAACTTACGGCTATGCATGTGTTTAGCAGCAGAGTTAGCCGCTGAATCTACTGCTGGCTGGAGTTTTCTGTCTGTTTCAAGCTGCAAGGTGGAGTACACTTTTCCAGAAAACACTTTTTCCCAAATTTAAAGTGGAAATAGCACAGTTTCCCTTTTGGATTATATCGTTTCTGAGATCTGCTGTAACTCCTATGGCTATGGTTGGGACTACGAGTTTGTGATCTGGAACGTTGCACACTGAGTGAAGCTATTTGCTGCTTCAAAGCAGATATTTTAGTGAGAAGTTCGTTAACTGGAGAGGCATCATTACTTGCACTTGCAAGTTCCATGCGTGAACCCATTTCAGCAATTTTATCAGCCATTGTGGCTAATTTTTCAAGACTCTGATCACTAACTATAAGGATATTTTTGACTGCGTCAGGCAACTTTTCCATCCAGAGAGTACGTAACACTTTATCAGACGCATCGTTATTATCACCAAGCGTTCTCATCTTTCTCAGCAGTTGGCTTGGCTTCATATCACCAAGTTCCAAACCAGTCAATAATCTTTTGATACGCTTAATTTCACTCTCTTTGAATAAGTTTGTTAGCCTTTCTTTTGCTGGTGAATATTTAGTTGCAGTTTCATCTTTGATAATGTCCCATATATTTTCTACAAACTTAGGATCCAGCTGAGCCACTAAGTACTTAAATTTTAGTCTTCGATGTAATTCCTTGCCTAATTCCTGCAATTTTAAATTGGGCTTCAACAGTATAGAGCCATATCTCTGGTCTATCAATCCAGAATGGGGGAATTTTTACACTCACTTTGCTTGCTTCTAGCTGCACATCACTGTTATTAATATTTGTATCAGGCATTTTTGTGCTTCACTTTCTAATATAATCCATTAAAAAAAACATTCATAACACTCAAAAGGAAATCAATAATCACAAGATACTGGTTCTGAAAAGTTGAGCACATTGTCTAGAAACACTAAAATAGAAGAAAGTCTCTTCTGCACTGGAAATTATGTGGATGCATTGAGATTATGCACATTGCAGTGTCCTGCACACTAGGGTCACCAAATGTCCGTGTTATGAATGTCCTGAGGATATCAAACTGGCCATATTTGGAGATGAAATTATTTAATTGTTTAATCAATATTAATAACCAATATTGATACAGTAAAATAAATCAGCAAAAACTAAGTTAAATAATGCAAGAGTTTTATTGACACAAACTCCACATGCACAGTCCAACACATGGTTCCCAACTCAGAGACACTCTCTCACTTCAAGTTCAAAGTTGCTGTTGAAAAACACAAAGTGAAAAATTAGGAACTTAAAACAATTAAACAAACAGAAAAATTACAAAAAACACTTTACAAATTAATTTGTAATATTTACAAACAAACAGTATTTTTTACTTTACAATTAATCATTACTTTATAATTTATTATTATTTTCTACATTTCCACACTAGCAGGCAAGCCATCTTTGAAACTGTGAATAAACTGCTTCCTGCATAGTGCAGCCATCTGGTGGTGAGATAATGTAGTGAACATTGTTCTAACATTTTCATTTTGCATTTTAATATTAATAATTTTTTCATTCGTTATATCCAAAGGTGGATTTTGCTAGTCGTGAATGCCAGACAACATTTTTTGAAAAACTGGAAATGACTGGCCAGTTGATTCCTGGAGATGGCGCTCGCCCTTGGGAAAGACGAGAGAGGAGAGGCCCTGAATTTGAAGTCGTCCGCAACGATGATCGGTACGGAAGGTGTGTGGCCAAAGATATGAGTTGATGTGCCACCTTTTTTATTACTTTTTTATTTTATTCCCATGAGAAGTTTCACTTTATATTATTTGTCCTTTCAAATTTATTGAGATATAAACTTTTGTTTTAATGCTGTATATTTCAAATAGGGAAAAGAAAAAATATTTGCATGTCATTTTTGAAAGATTAAATGTTATGTTAAATTTTGCTTTGAAAATTTCTAAAAGAGTTTCTTGCTTTTTTCATGTGTCTATTCAAATGTATACCTTGCCTAAAACAAAATTTTACTTTGAAAATAGTTTCAAAAAAGAGTTTCATACTTATTTTATGTGTAAATATATACCTTGCCTAAAACGAACATTTAATAAGCTTTTGATCTTGATGATCTTAAGAATTTGGGATCAAAAATAGATTCTAACTGTATGTCCTTTTAGCATTGCATATGACTAGGAATCTATATCTAAAATTTATGCAGAGTACTCATCTCCTAGAAGCGAACAACATTCATGTGACAACTCATTCATGTGTGACATTCATGTGACTCTTTGTGACAAAAGTTGTCCAGTGTAGTTTTGTTGTTCAGCATCTGGAACTCTGTATTCCTGTCAATCATGATGCTGCTCCATGTTATTATCACAGCTCCTCCGTAACAATATATACAGTCTGTGGTGGTGTTGTTCTTCCTCCTCCCCCTTTTGTGTGAGTGCGTGTGAAAGAGAAAGATCTATTTTCTAAATGAGAATACTTTTGCCAAACATTCACATACACATTGGAACTCAACTTACAGAATTGATTTCAGTTTTATGAGAACATGTTTTTGTTTGTTTGGGTGAGTAACTTCAGTGATGTATTTCTTTTCTCTTCTTGCCATTTATTTTTCAAAGTCTTTGATTCCTAATTGACATAAAAGCTTTATTCCAAATTGACATAAGCTTTGGTACATAGGCTTCGTTTGCATTTCCTTCATTATATATGTAATTTGTTGTCAGCTACTGTTGACAAATGGTATCAGAATTTACCAGAATCCATTGACAAAGCAGATTCTGTTATAATTTATATCCAGACACAAGAAAACCTCTCTTACCTCTTTGTTGTTACCTTGTACTGGTGGTGTCTTAGCTGTGAGAAGATCTTGCGTTAGATGACACATACTTTATTTTTATAATACCTTTACATTATGAAGTGCAAGGTAACCAAAAAAGTGTTTTATGTTTTGGACAGTCAGAAAGAAAAAGTCGTAAAACAAATAATAATTACTGCTAATCCTCAAAGTAATCACCATCGGCATCCAATACCTTTTGCTAACTGTGCAATGCCATTGTGGTAAAACTCGGCAGTCTTGGATGCAAAGAAGTCCGTCGGGGCCTTTTCGAGGTCTGACTGGTTGTTGAAGGATTTTCCACAAAAATGGTTGTCCAGAGAATGGAAAAGGTGGTAGTCTTATCTATTGGTGCGAGGTCTGGGGAGTATGTTAGGTGGAGTAGTGTCTCCCACCCCAGTCACTGGATGGTGTCCCTAGCCTTCTGAGCCACATGCGGCCTTGCATTGTCATAGAGGAGGAGTTACACCCTTACAACTGACAAATGTCTGATGCACACGTTCCAACTGCTGTGAGTACAGGCCTGCCGTAATGGTTTGGCCCACTGGCAGGAGCTCAGAGTGCACCAGATACAGAGCATGATCTTGCGTGGGTGGAGAGAAGGTCTCCTAGTGTGAGGCACAGGGCCCTGTAGTGACAACCAATGTGTGGAATGCCTGAGTGTGTCATACTGGACCCACTTTTCATTGTTGGTGAGTACTCTATCAAATATGGATGCATTGTGGTGCCGAGTAAGCTGTGACAAACAGGCAGCGACACAACGGTTGCTTGTTTGCATCAGGCAGTGAGTGGGATACCTACTTGCTCAGCTTTTATGTCTTCCTTATGCAGTGCAAATGGAGTCTGATTGTTTCATCAGATACCTGAAAGTGTGCAGTAAGATCATCACATGTTTGGCTACAGTCACTGTCTATGGCTGCTCCCTGGGCCTCATCGTCCAGCACTTATGACCAACTACTGCGAGGTGCATCACTAAGAGAAATATCCCCTGACCTGAACTTCTGGAACCATTGCCTAGCTGTTCGTTCATTAACAGCATCATCCCCAAAGGCCTGGTAAATTTGGCGACTTGATTCTGCTGATGACAAGCCCACTTTAAAATCGTACAGCAAACAGCTCTAGACGAGCGCCTTTGACACATCCATTTCAACCACTTGCTGTGTGAGTTATGTTTGAAGTACCGATGCAACATGCTTTTATACTCTTGGTCAATGTCCAGACTCCCATCCTAACCACTTCATTGCCAGATTTAGCGACTATTTTTATATTGAGGTTCACTCTTCCAATGTCTTATCAGAAACAGCAAGAACATTTTTGGTTACGTCAAGCATCACATAAAAACACTGAATAAAATATTAACAGCTAGTCTTAAATATTACACCACATTGTATACTTTGAATTATCATCCGTGGCTGTAAAAGTAAAAGGAATGGGTAAGATAGCGTAGCTTAACATTTTCTACATTTTGTGTCAGAACAAGGAAGAAACATTGACTAAAATATGCAAACGTGCCAACAAGAAAGTTAAAATTTTTCTCACTAAGGGAATCCATAGTGCCATCTAGTGAGAAAAAAAAATACTTAACCTGAATTTCTAACAGCCATAATCCAGTCCAGAGTTTTAATAAATGTTTTTGTAGTCTTGAATTGTATATATAAGAGAACAGGCACATTAATAACATAGTAATGAATTTCTGTTGATAATAATAATCTTTCAAATGATAATTTTAGTGTATTATTGAAAATTTGAGCGAAAGGGAACATTATATTAATCGTTTTCTCCTTTCAAATTTTTCTGTACAAGAATCATATAAACTAAATGAGTACCATTATTTTAGGTTAGTAACTTTTTCTAATTTAAAAGCTTTAAGAATTTCTTTTATTTAGTGATAACTTTCTGTAACCTAGTAAAAATATAAAACTCGCATCTCTGTAATTTTTCTGAACAGGGAAGCAAGGGTGGGTTTCGATAATCGTGTTTATCCACGATATGAAGGCCAGCCAAGACCCAACAGAGGAAACTTCAGAGGAGGGCAGCGAGCTGGATTTTCATCAAGAGGTCGAGGACAAGGATTTTCTGCTCGTTATGAAGTCTACCATGAGGAATTTGGGGAGCGAAGGCATCGGTATGTATTTGTAGTGCATCGTATTGCATAGTGCAATCAATGAAAATATATGTGTTGCTGGGCATTCTCCAAAAACACATAGTTTTATGCAGCATCTATGCCAGTTGGGAAAATGGGTGATTGATTCGTAGCATGAGAAATTCAAAGAATATTGAAATTTTCGCTTCTTTTGCTTCTGTTTTGAAAGTTAAACTCGCTGACCACCGTGTAACATTTCATTTTCAACTGTATGGTTTCACAGTAGATGCGCTATCGAACACTTGTGTATCTTTTAATGTGGATGCTAAAAATAAGTGAAATTTAAAAATTAAAAAAATAAGTTAAAAATAGTGATTTACAAAATCGGTGGTGGTTGAATTTGGAATAAGATACATAAAAATTGTCAATAAACATAATCAGTGGTAAAACCAAATCGAAAGGTGAAAATGCCAAAGCATCTGTGGAGCTGACGACATGAAATACTGCAAGAGAACTTATTAAATACATGAAGGATAGTAAAAGCACTTGTTATAATTACTAGTTATTTAAGAGTATACAATTACTAGTTATTTAAGAGATGAACAGAATTACAAGATGACACTGGTAATAGTAATTAAATAAGGAAATAGAAATTTAATGAAAGAATTAATAGTAAAAACTAGAAGGGGAACCATGAGCCAGCTGACAGGTAGAATAAATTTTTAAAATAAGCATAACATGTGAGTAGCTCAGCATAGGTAAATAGTAATTTTTTTAAATAAATATTAAGTTAGTACACAAATTATCTCATCATAAGATACAGTATTTAAAAATCGAGATTTTGCTCGTTAGCAGTATTTTGCATAAATATTTCTTCGAGCAAATTGAGTAACAAAAAGATTTTATCTATTGAATTCTCTGCTCATTGTATTTCAGGTAACTTGGAAGTGATTTTCTGAATGATTTTGGCAAGTGAGAGACCCTTCAATAAGTTGCCTATTTCTTTTATGAGTTTAAAAACTTCACCAAGGGAACCTAAGGTTACTGGTAATATTACTTTTAGCATCAGTGTTGCTTAGATTGGCTGTGTATTTATTGATTCTATTTCCATGTTGGGTGACATCCTCATATGATAACACATTATTGCTTTGGGACTTATTAAATGCAGTTGGTTTTGCAGTAATGTTAACATTAGAATTGATGTTGGTTTTGCTAATTTTTGGAAACTTGGGACAACCCCTGAAATTGGCATTGTGTCCTACTTCTTGACAGTTTCAACTCTCAACAACTTCAAGCCATTTGGCAGTGCATTCAGAGGTTTTATGTGCACCAGCACATTTTGCACAGCGAGATTGCAGTTTACAATTGTCAGAATTGTGGTGGAAGTGCTGACAATTATAGCACTGAACAATACTCCTGTTAATTTTGTATTCAACAAATTCTACATAAAATAGTAAAAAATGCTTTATGTCATAGATCTTTTTCTACACCTGCGTCTAGCTGTATTTGGAAGAGAGGCATGAGAACCTTGGTTTTGAAACTATGCATTTGTGCAATTTTCCTAACTTTGAATCCCTTATCACTGAGCTCTTGTTTGATATCTACAGGACAGTCCATAGAAAGACCTCTAACTACTACTTTAATTGGCCAATCATATTTTTTGGTAATGAGGTAATAATCAATTTTCCTTCTGTCCAGATAATTCGTTATGCCTCTATGGTCATCTTCTGTTTTAGGGAAGATTTTCAAAAAATTCCTCAAACCTTGCCCACGAAATTTAAACCAGTATCTTGCATCATATTTTTCATAAAGTAAGAGTACTTAATTGATGGTTTGACCATTATGTGCTTAATTTTGGGGGCAACATTTTCAACATCCATATTATTTTCATTGCTGTCAGAAACATCTTTTGGTAATTCATCAAACTTATTACTGAGGGGAATTTCTACGTTATTCTTTATCAATTTACATGGTCTAGCTGTTTTTTTTTTTTTTTTTTTTTTTCCCTTCTCCAAAGTAAAGCATCAGCATCTATAATTAAGTGGTCGCTTACCCGATTTTTTTTATGCCCATTTAGGCTTAGAAGCCATAACCTGAGAATTATCATCAGAAATATTTACATTAGGGGTAGGAATATCCAGCACGTCATAACATAATCGCTATTAGTCTTAACTTGATTAGGGGTATAATTAACATCAACATTACAAACAACACTAGGATTTTCATTAACATTTGAATTAACAGTAGAATTTTCATTAACATTATATTCCTCATGCAGTTTACGAAGCAATGTACCGTAATTAAGTTTAGCAATATCAGGATGTAATTCACCAAATGCTTAGCATTTACCTTGAAAATAGAGTTAAAAGTCCTTCACAAATAGTCCTGATTTTCTGGTATGGTTTCATGCCAGACGGCATTGTTTCCGGTGTAAACAGAGCAAATGCACTATCTATAGCCTGACTCTCAGCACAAATTGAATCTACATAATTTCAAATTTTTACATAATCCTTGAGGTCATTCAGTTTCTTTCAATAAGTCTTTCCATTCGCTATCCATTTTTTCATCAGCATATTTAACAAGTTCATCTGGCAAACCCGCCATGAGGTGATGAGCAACAGCTTTTGTATCCTCAAAAGTTAATAGGGGGAAATTATTTCCCGGCATTGTAATTTCACAAAAGTAATCCAACGGAAGCAATTAGAAGTTCATCACAGTTTCAAATAAATTGTCAATGATTAGCTTATTAATGCTCCCACCTTCTTGGCGTGCCTTCATAGTGTAGTGGTTCTGCACGCTGGGCCGGTATTCAGATGTCCTTGGTTCAATTCCCGGCAAAGGCGGTTGCTAATTTTCCTCTTTCTCGCTTTCAAACAAATCCTAATGTCTCTGCAGTGGCGCTCAAACTAAAAGGGTTGTTGAGTGATGATAAAAACCCCGGTCACCCTTTAAAAGGGGGAGTATATAAGGTATTTCTCCCACCTTCTTGGCGTGCCTTCATGGTGTAGTGGTTCTGCATGCTGGGCCGGTCCGGCGAAGGCGGTTGCTAAATTTTCATCTTGCCTGCTTCCAAAATACCTAATGTCTCTTCAAGCTTACATAAGAATAATCCAGATGTTTAGAGATAAAACAAGAGCTTGAGTCTCGCTTGACAGTGGCGATCCACACAGAACAGGAGCACTAACTCTTTTCAACTGTATGCAGACATGTAGTGTACTCTTTTCTTTTTATACTGTATATATTTAATGATACTTCATTTCCAAATGCTCTTTAAAGTTAGTTAATTGTATTTCAGATAAGTTGGACTTATCTTTATCTATTCAGTTATTTTTAATGTATTTATTTAAAAGGGTAAAAATATATTTTGTATGCTACAGATATTATTTAATTCATTATCTAATTTAAAACATGAACAATAGTTTTACAGAGTTTTCCCTCAAAAGTAATAGTCACCAGAAATCATTTGTGTTGTATGAATTCCTGAACAACATGTAAATTTGATTAATTTAGTCAGTGTAAAGATTTTTATGCATGAACTTGGATTAATTTTTGTATTGGGCATTATGGAAAAGATTTCATTAATGTGTGTTATAATCATTAACTATTTAAAAATACAAAATAAATAACAAACATACATAATGCAGGTTTCTAGTTTCTGATTACTTAAGATAAATTTACTATGCAATCTGTATATTATCATACTGTGTTTTAAAGATATTTGGGGGAGGTGAATTTGTGTCCAAGGATGCGGAATACTTTTGGAGATGGTATATATTATATTATTTAAGGAAAAATAATAAAGGTTATTATGTAATGAAAAGGCCATCTGAAATTTTGAGTCATAAAAAATGTTTGAAACATGTTTACCAAGAGTTGCATTGGTTGTGCATGTAATTGTGCAGTAACAGTGTTTCGGAAATAATACTTTGTCTTTTAAATCATTTTAAAAAGTATGTGCTACTACATATTCTTCTGATAAAGGGGAAAAAGGAGGAAAATAATGCATAATTAATCAGTTTATTGCAAGAGGACTGTAATGGGCATATCAGCTTACAATAATTAAAACAATTTTTTTCTATTATTTTGTGCATCTTGAAATTTTGGGATATTGCATGGAGCATAACCATGCACCATATTTTGTAAACATATTGTTTTGAATGGTAGTTGTGTTCATGCATGTGATCTTTTTGTAGTTGCTGTATTTAGATCTTTTATTGCGCATTATGTGAGACTTAATTTAAATATTTGAAAAATGTTTCTTGTAATAGAACTTTATTATTTCTTTAGTTAATTTATTGCATGTATAGAAATATATGTGCATAATTATTTGTTAATTTATGCAAGTAAAGTTTTTGAACAGGTATTAAAAGTTTTTAATTCAATGATAATTAAAAATTCTGTTTAAATTGTATTTAAGAGAGTACTTAGATACCATTTAAACAGGATTTTGAGTCTAAGAGAGTAAGTACTTTAAGGATTTTCCCTCCAAAAGCATTTGTAAAGTATATATAAAAATATCAGTCCATTATATTATTATTATTACAGTAGAAAAAAAACCACAGAAATGCCTCCTAAAAATGTACAAAAAGACTCCGTATATCAAAGAATCTTAACTTGAGTTTGCTGTAATGAAACGCCATTTTAAAATACAGACTGAATTGTTGAAGGCAGTTGGTTTTAAGTGTAAATTTTTCATACCACGTCGTTAATGTATAGCACATTGTTAACGATTTTTTGTATTTTAAATAAATATTTTTCTTACAGAAATAAAATATGAGTTTATTAACTTGAACAAAATCAGCTTTTTATGTACCGTTAGTCTCGTATAATATTTTGAAAAATGCAGCATTTCTCAATAATTAAAAATTAGGCCGAAAACATTTACCTTATTTTAGCATAGATGTTGAATAAAATTGTGCTGATTTTAAGGGGGATCAGCTGCAGATCCGTTAGTCTGGATTTCAACCATTTGCTAAGCGATGATGACTACTGAATACTGGGAATTCAGCCTGGGTGTGATTATCCAAGTGAACAGGCTGGTTGCGTGGTGTCTTTTTGTAGGCCCCCCCCACACACAAAAAAAAGAGATTTTTGTTGCTGAAAATGAGGAATGTGTGTCTGATTGCCCTCAAAATCAATATTAGTTTTTCAGAATCTGTGCCAAAATAAGGTTGCTTTTTTTTTTTTTTTTGCCTAATTTCAAATTTTACATTGTCTGGTTTTTCTTCTGTTGATTTCTCAGTGACCTAACCATTGTGCTGATATTGTAGACGTATAATTTGCATTTTATATTTAAATATATGTATGCCTACTTTTCAATAGCTTAAACACTTGCGCTAAAAAGATGTGCCACACACGTCGAGATGCTTTTGTCTCAAACTGCACTCAAAAATGAAAATAACTTTGTGCACACATCTCCTAACAATGAGATTGCTTATTTCTCGAGTTACAGCTCTGAATTGTACTCGCAGACGCAGAGCGACATAAATGAGACACTTTACCACTTGTTATATTGTAGCGCATGGCACCGCAACCGTGAAGTGTAGTCGTAGTGCAAGTGGTTAACAGCATTAATTTGTTTATTAAAAATAACCGTGTAAAAATACTTGCATTTAATCAGTCTTTATTCAGCTTTGTTTACAATTTGTTTGGAGTGCAAATATAAAGTATTGATTTTGTGCTTTCACTCCAGTACACTTGCTTTGATTATTTTAACTTATATGTCATGAAAATTATGGTTAGAATTTTATTAGAATCAGTATATTGTACAGAAACTTAGGAAAAATAATGTCATATCATGTGTATAAAATTTGGGTATAATTTTCAAAAAATGAATTTATCAACTTTGTTTAAGCGGAAAAAATGTATATTAACCATATTTTAATGCGAAATAAAGAATACTTGTATTGCATGTTGATACTTTTTAAAATCCAAATCTTTTCTTATGTAATGTGCTTTATTCATTAGGTACTCCAGAGAGGATAGTGGAAGTGAAGCAACAATGTTTGATGGGAAAATTGAGCGTGGAAAATATGTTGAAACTGCTGATTGCCCTAATCGTAAACGGAATAAGTTAAGGAACAGCATAAGTGATCAAGAAAGTCATCATAGCCAATCTCCACCTCGCTCTCGCCATCAAAGTCGGAGCACCAGTCCTGTATCTAAAGACAGAAAATCTTTAAAAGACAGGTTACACCACCGCATCAAGAGTCCTGGTAGTCATAACTCCTCAGTTGTTAACAGTCCGTGTCGAGATACCATCTCTGATGAAACAGACATTAATTCTGATTATAAGGATTCTCGTCCTAAGAGCTTGGACATTAAACAAGATGATGCTATGGCAGATATCTCATATACATCACCAAGAAGCAGTTCTGAGAAGGATGGATCTGAAAAACTGTCTTCAAAAATCGAATGCGATTCTGTCAGGTCTCGTTCTTCAATTGATGCTGAAAGTGCTGATGAAGCTGGTGTAACTAGTGATCAGCTAAGTCAGTTAGAGAGGAAGAAGCGCCTCTTAGCATCCTCTAGGCTAAAAGGGGGTAAAGAACTGAATTTGCTAGTAACCAAATCCATAATTGACAAAGCAAAATTAAAAATTACTCCTAGCCATAACAATACTGTGAAGTGTGCTAAAATAACTTGTGTGTCTGATGCTTCCAATGAGGAAGGGAAGAATGATGCAGAGACTATCAGCATACAACAGGATTGTTCAAAAGATAAGCCCCACCCAAATGAAAGTGCCAATACAGACTTGAAATACTTGCAGAAAAAGCAAGTTCACCTTTTACATCTTTTAGAACAATTGCGTGAAGGTGTTAATTCAAGTGACAATGAAGGCTCAGTTGATGGCCGCATTGCGAGTAAAAAGCATCGGTCTTCTTCTAGTTGCCTGGATACAGAGACATTCAGTGAAAATGATAGTGGTAAATCCTTAACCAAAGATGAATGTGGAACTAAGTTGTGCAAAAGTAGCATAAAGGATCCAGCAATTTTCACTAAAGTTAAAAGTAAAACAGATAGTGTTGAAAATAATAACTGTATATCCCTGTCATTGGACTCCTTCATTTTTCGAAAACATTTAGATCCACGGAAAAATTTTGACCAACATTCTGTGTCTGTAGCCTCTGTGAACTCGCTGCAGAAATGCCGGCGGATATCTGTGGACAATGATACTTGTCTTCCCCATGCACAAGAAGCCAGTGATTCTTTTTTATGTGTTTCGTCATCATTAGCATCTGATGTTTCTTGGAAAAAACAGTGTAATTCTTTAAATGATATTCATTTTTCTGAAAATGATGCAGATAGCTCATTATCAGTTCCCCATTTTAAAAGTAAAGAAGATAACATGGAGGATGACATTTTGACAGCTAAAAAATCCCTCCCAAATTCTTCATCTCTGTCACTTGATTTACCAAAAGGTTTTATTTCATTACGTTCTTTTCCTGATAATATTCCGTGTCATGAGATTAAAAGAGAAAGAGATATTAGTCCATTATCCCTTCCTCTTCCCAAATTTGCTGCATCTCTCAGATCGCCAAAATCATCTCCTAGCATATTAACATCACCAAAGAGTACAACAGCTCACAGTCCAAGAGCTGGGCTCTCTCCAAGTTCTTACGCATCAAGTAAAACTGCTCGAATTCCTGATTTACTTCATGATATTCAAAATGAGAAGAAGTTTAAAGAAATTGTACCTGATGAAAAAGTTAATGGTGCTAATATTTCACCTGCAGATTCAGTATCACATTTTGAATCTCAAATTGTGAATGAATCATCTGAGTGTGCTTCAAATTTGGAGCCAATACAGTCTCCTAGAAGTATATGTGAAAAAATTAAAGAATCAATTAGTTCCTCAGAATCAGAATTTTCCCCATCGTCATCACCAAACCGTCCATCTATTGAAGACCGTATAAAAGCATTAGATGAAAAGTTTAATGCTTGGTCTGGGTCTACTAGAACTTCTTCTGCAACTGTGCCAGATACAGTACCTGCTGCGGTAGTTGATGTTCCAAAATGTCCCACTAAAAGATCTAGGTTTAATTTTCTTACATCTGAAATTCGCAGTGAACCTTCAGAAATAGTGAAATCTTTGCTTGCTCGGTCTACCATATTTGACCAAGATTCTAAGCGATTACAGCATATTGATGAAAAATATGAACCTTTAAATGTTAAGGTGGATGTTTCTCCAAAAATTAAGCCAGCTTTTAGAACAAAAGCGGCTGCAAAAGAGTTCTCAACACCAATAGCTCCATCTATACAAAACTTCAGCCAACCATTATTAGTGAAATCTCCTGCATCAGTGTTAGTTGCCCAGGGAATTATGTCTCCACCAGCAACACCTCAAAGTGCAACGGGCAGCATATTATCTCCAATTACACCACCTGTTGTACAGTATACCCAGTTAACCCCTCAAGTATATACTCCATGCTCACCCCATGCTACATCTTTTGCCTTGCAATCAAATGCGTTAAAAACAATAGATAATCTATCTAATTCACATGATAAAGATTTGAATGACTCTATGTATAAACCAGTTCAAGTTTTTAATTCCCTGAAAGCTAAAATAGAACCTGGCTTTCATACAAATTCTTCTGCCCTTGCTACATCCCTTAAAAGTAATCCTCTCCCTTGTCCTGTTGAAATACCCACACATGGAATGAGTGTAAGTTCACCACCCAATATTAAAAAAGAACCTTCATCTCCCACTGACAATGTTACAGAAATAGCCTGCAAGGCTGAGGTGGAAAATAAAGTTTCCATTAAGAAAGAAATGCCTCTTTTAAATTCTGTGAGCATTCCATCAAGAAAAGAATGTGCATTAACTTTAGGAAAGGACCATTCTCACTTTAATTCTTTTGATCACGATAAAAAGGAATTTTGTGATTCAAAAGATCCACGGTTAGCTTTTCATGAAGGGGCTAGCCAGTGGAGAGAGAGTGGTTGCAAAGATGACAAAAAAGTTCATGTTGATAATAGTGCCAAATCATTTGTTGTTGCTGTGTCTAGTTCGGACATTTCAGAAAACTCTGTAACACCTGCTGTAAAAAAACGGGTGTCTTCTATTGATAGTAATGAATCTGATTCTTGTAAGTCTTTAAAATCATTTGAATCCAGTAGAGATGGCCAAGAAAATTGTTCAAAGCATGACAAAACATCTGAACCTGAAGCTAAGAAACCTAAACTTAGCAAAAGTGTCAGAGATCGATCTGGATCTCCTCCTGTTCAGCAAAGTGTAAGGAAGAATGAAAAGAAAGACAAGTGTTCAAAAAATGAAAAAAGTAAAACTTCTATTTCAAAACCAAACACAGTAAATAATTCAGAGAAAACAAAACATGAATCAAAAAGTAACAGTAGAACTGAATTCAAAGAAAAAACAAAATCAGATCACAAAAGTAAAGAAGAAAAACATTCAAAATCTCATGACTCTAAAGATTCCTCTTCTAAAAATGATCAAAGAAATAAGTCAAGAGAAAGACGCAATTCTGAAAAATATACAAAGAGCGGACATTCAAATAACCCATCTAATAAACCGAAAAAGGATTCTACTGCAAATAAAAATGAAAAAGCTAGTGACAAGAAACAGACAGAAAAGAAATCTAGAACTAAATCTTCAAATCATGATATTCCACCTTCATTGGAGGAAGAGCCAGTATATTTTTCTATGTATGATAAAGTAAAAGCACGTTCTAGTAAAAGTGCTCTAGTAAAGAAAACAACTGGCCAAGATACTGTTCTCAGACAATCATTAAATAAGTTAAAACAGAGCCGTGCTAAACGTGGGGGGAAAACAAAATCAATTGATCAAGACAGAGATTCAGACAATGAGAGAGAGTCGGACAATGATAGCCACACAGGTGGTGAATCTGATTCCGAAGCAAAACCATCAAAAGTGAAACAACATCGTAAAAGGAAAGCAGCAGTACTAACAGATTCAGATGACGAATTAACTCAAAATGACTCTAATAATAAACCTAATAAAACTGAGAAAACCTTTAACAATGATTCAGCTGTTGATTCTGATTTTGAGTGCAATTTGCCCTCAAGGCAGTCTAGTGTCAATAAAAATCGAAAAAAGAAATCTGATGTTATTGAGTCTGATAGTTCTGATGATTCTGATTCACCATACATTTTAAAATCTCAGAAAAATCGCAGAAAGAAGTCTCAAAGTCGAATAAAATCACACCTTGAAAAGAGTAAAAGAATTTTGAAATTTGATGACGAAACATCTGATATGGATATACCAGCTAAACCTAAAGAAAAAGATACCAAACCTAAAAAAGTGAAAAAAGAGAAAGTACCAGAAGCAAAAATGGAGTTGGAGGTTTCTGAATGTGAAGCTCCTAAAAGAATTGCAGAAGAGTGTAGAATATCTAAGAAGAAATGTTTTAAAGAAGTGAAACAAGAAAGCGATTCTTCATCTCAGAAAAAAGTTAAAATTGACCATGCTGTAAAGGAAAATACTGTTTCATCAAAAGATAGAAAAATTGACAGTAGTACGGAAAAGATGCAAGAAAATAGTGAAAAACATAAACCATACAGTAAGAAAAGGAAAAAATCCAAGAAACTATCTAGAAACAAAGAGAAAAGAAGTTCTGAAAAAATGGCACAAGATTCAAAACAAGATGAATGTGATTCTAAATCTTCTCTTCCTGTGCTTCAGCCACCCAAACCATCTAGTCCTTTACCTGACAAGCAGTTATCTCCACCTTGTCTACATGCTGGTGTTCTATCAGATAATGATTTTAAATCTGATTTCTCAGATTTTGAATTTGAACCTCGACAGAATAATGATATGGACTCAGACTTGTGGAAACCTGATGTGAAATCTGATTCTGAGAAATCTTCAAAAAGTAAGAGAAAGGATTCTGCTGGAAAAGTACAAATGGCTGTCATTCCATCACCTGAGCAAGATTCAAGTTTACCATCATTTTTTGATAAGCTAGAAGATATCACTGATTCTGAAGCAGGTAGAGAACCAACTGATTGCACGAGTGATGTTCCATGTGATATCCATCTTCCATTTCCTAAAGAAAAAGATGCATATATGAGCTCATCACCCCATAAAACAAAGCATGAAAAGCATGATGATGAAATTTGTACAAAATCTGAAGGTAATAAATATAGTGATACTTACAGTAATTCTTCCAAAGAAGAAAGAAGGAAGAAAAAGTCCAAAAAACAATGTAAGGAACGCAAGAAAAAAGTGCGTGAAGATATTTCTTCTCCTTCGAAGAAATCAATATCAGGTTCAGCCTCTGTTTCACCTCCAAAAGCAATAATTTTTGAAAACCCTCCAGGGGATGATGACAGTCAACTTTCTGTGCTTCGTTTAGATGAAGAAATTGCAGAAGAAGCCAGGCGTCTTGAGCAAGGACTTTTGGCAGAATCTGAAGAAACAAGTACTTTTGGTGATGATGGACCTGCTAAACGAGAAGAAAAACTACTTGAGAGGAGATTTGAAGAAGAAGCTGCAAAAGAAACCCGGAGACTAGAAGCAGAACTTTTTTCAACCGGCAGAGATTCATGGCATATGAAAGAAAAGGAGTATGATTCTGAAGCTAATTCTGGGGAAGTAGGTGAAGATAAACATGGCAGTGAACTAGATGTTATTGCAGGAAAAGAGGAAAATATTTTTGCAGGATTGGACATACATTCTTCTATTGTAGAATCTTCTCAGAATGATGGTGATGTTTTTTTATCAGGTCATTCTGAATCAGATCATTATAAACTAGATGATAAAGATGTTGCCAATGAAATGGAAGATCAAAGAAAAATAGAAGATGACCTTGCAGTATCAGCTTTGTTGCAAGAAATGCACTGTGGAGAAATATCTGCTCCTGAATTGACTAAAGAAACTGACTACCTGGAGCCTTTAATTGAAACTCATCCTGAAGAAACAATGAATTACTTGCTTCCTGATGATGGAGAAAATTCTCTTCACATTGCAGATAGTCCTGCAGAAGCTCAAGGAGTTGAAGGTCCAGAGGAAAAATTGGAAGCATCTATCATGTTATTATCACCCTCCTCAAATTCAGAACCACCATCATTAGAAATTTCTAATGTGGAGGATTCAGTTTTAATGAAAATAGAAAATATGAACCAAGCTTGCCATACTGAAACTCTAAAGTTGGAGCCAGCCAATGATGATGTTAATCGTGAATCTAAAAATATCGTTTGTTATGAGTTTCGGGAAGAAACAAGCCTTGAATTATGTGAAAGTAAACCTCCTGTGATTGATATACCAACTGTTCCAGAGCCCTTGGAGCAAGTGAATGAAACACTTTCTCCAAAGCTTGATGTTACCAAGATTCACAAAAAGAATATCAAGGATAAACATTTCAGAACACCTCTAAAAAATGATAACAGTCAGAGTAATGAAGATACTGATGAATCAGGCTCGGAACTTGCTGAAAATCAGTTGACTCATTTTGAAGACATAACAATGGACACTACAGATAGCAAAGATGATGACAATCCTCCTATTCTTTTACCTGTCGAATCGCCTCGTAGCCATCTTCCTGTGACAGAATCAAAAGAAAAATCAGAATATCTGGAAAAGATTGCAACTGAGGAAAATCAGAATCTTGATAACATTATTAACAAGACACCGGTATCATGTGAAAGTCTTAATTTTGACAAAGTAGCTGACTTAGACAAGGAAATCGATGATATCCTTGACAGTATTACAGAAACAAAGAAGCAGAATCCTGAAAATGATTCTTTCCGAATACCTGATTCTCACGAACGTTGTCTTTTGCCGATGAATGTATCTAATTTGTCTGATCAAAATAGTATTGATGCCATTGAAATTAATAATTGTACAATGTTTGAAAGTAGTAAACCTGAATTACAAATGACATGTGATAACATCAGTGCATCAGGAATTTTAAAATCACTTAGCCACACTGATAATGTCTGTAATACTAATTATTCTGAAGAAATTAGTCATAAACTCAGCTCTTCAGAAACTGCAAATAAAGATGCTCTTGAGCCTCCTATTCTTAGTTATTCTGCAGTCTTAAATTCAAGTTGTGAAACAAATATTATTCCAGCTTCCCAAAAATCTCATGACGATAATGAAACTATTTTGATTTCAGATAAGCAAACTTTGGAACCTTTTGTTGAGAATGTTAATACTGGTAATATCCAAGAAGAAAATCAGGGATCTTCTGACTTCTTATTAGAACTTTTTGGACCCAAAACTGAAGACAATGATAAAACTGAAAGTGATACTTCAGCAGAAAATCTCAAGAGTGGTAGCATATATGACTTCAATTTAGAATCCAAAAGCTCTAAAACTTATGATTCTGATGTATGTGAGTTTAACTCAGAGTCAAAAAATAAAAACCACGATTCTGATAGTTCAGCACTGGAAATAAATTTGCCAAGTGAAATCACACCTTTATTTGAAATACCAGAAGTAAATGAGCAAAATGAAGCTACTGAATTTAATCAAGAAATATTTGAACATCCCACAGATCCAGTCAAAGAACCAAAGTTGCCTCGTTTACTAACTTTCAGTTCAGAACAATTATTTACCGACAATACAGCTAGTAAGGCTACAGACAATTCAGATATTAATAATGAAGATTCATGCTATAAATCTGAAAATACAAATGTTGAATTTAAATTAGGTGATGTAAAATCTGAACAAGAGCTAACTGTTGCATCTGAAGATGTAGATTTAGGTGAGAAGACAGTTTTTTCAAAATCTGAGGATAGAAGTATTGATAATTTGAAGGAAGAATCATTAAATATTGATGATAGCTTAGAGAAATCAAAACTTGGAGATGCAGAGTCTGTTTGTAGTGATACTACAGATATAACTGTTCCAGAAACAAAAATTGAACCTGAAATAAGCCAGCCAACTTTAAATGAAGAACAAGTGCAGGAAGAACTTTGTCCAGTTGAAAATGTAGTCACAGTGTCAAAAGCAAAATCTGAAAGACCGCGAAGGGGTCGTAGACCCAAGACAAGAAAATATGTAAAAGCAACTGCTCAAAAGCAGGAAACTCATCATGATGTTCCTGTTAATCCATCTCAGGGAAGGAGCACAGGCCGACGTATGCGGCCTGTGTCTTCTGAAAGAACAAGACGTTCCCTTAGAAGTGATACATCTGATTCGATGGCATTAAAAGAACTTTATGAAAGCAAACAAAATGGTGTTGATGAAATTACTCAGTCTGAAAATGAAGAGGGGAAAAAAGACATTACAGAAATAACTATTGATGATTCTACAGCACCTCAAAAGGATAGTTTAATCTTATCACCCCATGGAGAAAATGATGCTAAAGTTTCTGTGCCTCAAACACTAAAGAATGAAGAGCCAAGAAAAAGAAGAGGAAGAAAGAAGAAAACATCTGGTGACCATCAAGCTCCTCAATTGAATGAAAAATCTGAATCTAGATTAGAAGAACCTGATATTTCTAAAGATTTCAACCGACCTAAAGAGTCTCGGCTTTGGCAGTCATTATCATCAGATAAGGAGCAAAAATCCTCAAAAGATAATACTTCTAGTGCTTATGATGTATTTGAATTTCGGGAGGAAGATGAAGATCTTACATTTGAAAGTGGGAGACTTCATGATAATGCTAGAGCCAATACTACCTCTACTGACCAAAAACATGATAGTAAAATATCAGAAGTTCCTGTTGAAAAAGAGAAAAAAGTTGAAGAACCTAAAGTAAAATCCTCACCCAGTGAGGATCGAGAACATGGTAAAGAACATCATGCAGAAGTGAATCAACACAAGAAGATATCAATTACAATAAGATTACATCAGAAGGATGGCCACAATGGTTCTTCTCCAGGTACTGCTGAAGTTGTAAAGACTTCAGAAGCTTTGAATATTGAAGAAGTGAAACCAGAACCACCAGCTAAAATTGAAAAAAGTACATCATCTAAACAAGAAGTGTCAACATCTGACATTCCATATAATGGGCCTTGTAAATCAACTAGAAAATCTACTCGACTCATGAATCAGGCTATGAGGTCTACTGTAGATGAAGTTATTGAAGAGGTTGTAAAGGGTAATTTTAAAGCAAGTAACAGTTCTCATTCTGAACCAGTGCCAACTCGTGTTACTAGACGATCTAGATCAAGTCGTCGCAGTGAAGAAAGTTTGTCTTTAGTGCCATCAGAAAATTCTGAAGATACTTTAGATGATAAAAATAAAAATGATCCTGTCTTTTTCATCTTAGATAACACAGTGAAAGATATTTCAGATGGGAAAAAGAATGTCTCAAACCATCCACCAGAAATTACACCTTCTACCACAGATGTACGAAATTCTGAATCTGATAAAATTTCTGATCGCACAGCTTCTCTAAGATCGTACCGTTTTAACCGTGGTAATTCCAGCAAATTGGAACAATCTAACAAAGAGTCTGTGATTTCTCCCAATTCAACTGCTAATGAGCAGGAATCTCAAAAGAAAGAAAACTCTTCTAATAATTCATCTGAGGAAAAGTTTGACAGTTTGCACGCTAAAGATTCTAAAGAAAGTAAGGAAGCTGCTAAAGAATCAAGGTCTGTGCCTGAAAATTTAGCAGTGTATCGTTCACCTTTACCTGTACTTAAGGTTGAGATACCCAGAATGAATCTTGAAGGCACTAAAGATTTATTTCCTAAACCAGAAAATGAAGAAGATAGTAATTCTCGATCTAGTCCTGCTGTTCTTATAGATCCTGTTACAGGTATTCTTGTACCGGTTGATAAAAGCGAGTCATATTCTGAAGCTTCTAATACCTTTTCTCTCACAGAGAGTAAAGGAACAAATAACATATTAGTGTCTGACTTATCAAGCGTATGTAGTTCCATTCTTAAGAATGTTTCTAAACCAGTTCCTGTTGTTGAAACATCAACAATTTCATCTGTTATTCAAGATAGTTCAAAAAGTAACCAGACTACTGCAAATGAGAAATCAACAGTTGGAAGAGCACCTTTGGTACAAAGTTTAAGGCCTAGACATTTGCCAAGTAGTAGTCAGAATCCTGTTACTGTTACTACATCATTACCATCAGTATCTGAGCCTTGCACGAAATTGCCAGTATCAACTGAAAAAAGTACGGAAAGTATGAAATTACGTAGTAAAAAACCATCTTCTAATGCCATTGGTGTATTAACATTAGCAAATTCAGCAGTTCCCAGTGGTGCTTCTCTAACAGTGGTTTCTGGAACTCCTGCCACTGTTGCTCTGACTGATTCTGTTTCAACAAATTTAGTGAGTTCAGTGGTTTCTCAGGCACAGTCTCCTGTAATTACAGCCCATGAAACTGTTGCAAATTCAGCTACAACGACAGCAGTGTTATCACATGACAAAACTGAAAGTGTAGAAAATTCTGTATCGAAAGTCTCTCATCCAGTGCACAGTAATCAATCTGCTGTCAGAGCTATTGTGACTGCTGTTGTGACTCCTACTTCTGTGGGACATTCAACACCCTTGCCTTCAAATGTACAAAATAAGTGCTCAGTTGCAGCTGTTACTTCTTCTGTTGTCTTAAATAAATCAGAGGTGAATATAATTTTTCTCTTTGATTTCATATTATTTTTTGTGCTATTACTGGATTTTATGTAAAAGAATTATTTTAACCTTTATTTCCCTACAAAGTCCATCAATAAAATCACTCAGTAGGTTGTAAATTTTCAGTAAGATCCCATTGGGGCTTTAAAGTCCCTGAATTTTAACCTTTTATTTACCAAAATTAGATGGTAGTAGGAGCTCGTTTTGTATGGTAAAAAGCCTCCAAAATGGCAATCTTTAGTGATGTGCTTTAATGTTTCCTAAATAAATATTCCACCATAATAATCATTCTAGTATAGTTCGGAGACATAATGTTCTTTAATAAGAATCCTATTGATGCAGCTGAAAAATTTCATAATTCCATAACAAAGCCATGCAGCCACCCTCCCATCTAAGTTCTCCTTAATGAGACTGAAGCAATAAAAATCTCGCTGCAACTACAGTAGGTGTGAATTAATTGTGGAGTTCTGCTTTTTCTAATGAAACTTTTTTTTACCCTCTGAAGCTCATTTTTAACTCATTATTCTCATATTTTAATTTAGATGTTTCTATCCAGAAGTTTTTCTTTATTTCAACTTCACTTATTGTGATTCTTGATTTAACCCCATTTTGCCCTGTGGATTTGTTTGCCATGGAGTGGAGTAGAAGGAAGCATTATCTTCTATGGTCAGTAGCTTGAAGGATGACTCCTTGTTCTAAATGCTGTTTGTTTTTCCATATCATATCTAGCATTATTTTTATTTGAGTACTTTGTAAGGAATTTTATGTTAATGAATCATTTATGTATAATTTCAGCCTTTACTATAACTTCTTTCCGTATTCTTACCAGAATATAAATGAGTACTCAGTATTTAATTTAGATTTTGAGATGGAGTGTGTTCCTGGAATTGTGCACATGCTATGTTTTTTAGTTTTCTGCCAGCGCTGATAGTTGTGATTATTCAGTCTTATGTTTTGTCACGACTGATGCTGAAATTCTGACTCTCTGATAGAGTTGTGAGTATTGTTGAATTCTATATGGCATAAGTGGAAAGAAAATGATGCTTAATAATAAAACTTTTTAGTTTTTTTATTGGTAAAAGATGGTAAAAAAAAAATGTGCGAGTGAGTGCAACAGCTGACCGGTATGTGAGCTTAGCCAGAGCATAAAAAAGCTTAACAAACCCTTTGGGTTACTGAAACCATTCAGATTTTTTAATATCCTTTTTAATTATTTTTTTTCCTTCCATGTGCAGGTGATACAGTCAAAAGTCTTTAATCTGGACTCGTCGGGACTTCGGCGATTCCGGATTATCGATTTTTCCGGATTATAGATCATCAGTTTAAATCTGGTAAGATGGCATGCAGAAATTATAAAATTAAAAATATGAAACCGTAATTTATGAAATAAAGAGCCATTATGATCTAAAGGGTATCAAAATTTACAACTAACAAAAAAAAAAAAAAAAGAGCTTAATATTTATTTGTTTACTTTATTAAACATTTCTTTCAATGCGCGCATGCGTAACGCATACATTACGCTTATGATATTTATAATTATGAGGAATTTGATTTAAATCATATCAAAGACGGAGTACATCGAGATGAAATACTGCATTTAGTAAGGAATTATAAGCCAAATAAAATAAAAACATCTGCCCTGAAGATAAGGATAGTGCTGACAGATCAACTTCCGGTTCATTGCGCGCAGTAATTCCCCCCCCCCCCCATAACAGTGTGAAATTGATAAACAGATTTCTGAATGGTTAGAGAAACAAAGGATAAGCCTTTATCCATTTTCTGCAGCAATTCCACTTTTTGTTTGATGGACATCGAAACATACTTTCGCTTTGTAGATCCTTTACATATGAGTAAATATGTATCGGAAATTCTATTTGACATAATTAATTGAATGTTCAAGCTTACTTTTATAAAATTGCTTTAACAGTCTGCAAAAAATAATAAGCCGGATCCAATTCGAAGATTAAGGAACAACACAATCTGCAACATTAACTGAAATAGATAATTAGATAATTTTAGCTTATACCGTCCATTATACATTAAATGCGCACGCGTAAACGTATTATGCGCACACGCATATGCGGAGTCTTAAAGGTCCTATGTGCATGCGTCAACGTATGCGCAGAAAGTTTGTAGCTTTGAGGTCCAAATTATGGGTTTCCGAATTAATGACTCTTGACTGTATAATATTTTAATTTCTGCATAATAAAAATTATGTATATGTACGTAGTCATATAGTGTTTTCAATAGCTAAAAAATATTTTAGAATTTAACTATTAAGATGGATAAGCTTGATAGATAGTAAATAACTTGTTAGTGTTACATTTAAGGTATGTTAATAAAATTTTAAATTTATAACATTCAAGAATTTGCAGTTGATTTCTTTATTTTATAGAAAACTTACATGCAGTATTAAAAGTTCATTATTCTATTGAATACTGTTTTCGAAATGAAAATATTTGATGGAAGAAGTGCAAAGTGTGATGCTGTTCTATTCTTCATGTGATATGCTGAAATGGAGAAATTATATTTAATTTTATATAAAATTGTTGCTTGTATTGGCCTTGAGAACTTCCACCCCATATAAGAAAATGATTATCATTTCCTTTGAGGAATACTGCTATCGGTTACTTAAGATACTCATTAAATCAGATAAACAAGATGGCTCGCTTGAAATTAACAGATAAGAAGTTTCTTTTTAGGCATAAACATTTTATTTCAATTATGTGCAACAAACCACTTCATTACAAACTTATTTCTTTTCAAAAAAATTTAAAACTACTGTTCTAATCACAGTCTCCCAATAAACCGAGGCGTTGCTACTCTTTTTCAAACAAAGTGTTAACTGAGGTAATTTACTTACCATAAGTGGTGCAACAACTGTATTAGAAATTCAGATTCTTGTAGTTACATCAGTACAATCATATTTGTAGCCATTTGTTTCATTGACATATTTAGTAGTAGAAATTTATTGTAGTAATGTTAGTGGTAGAAATTTATTGTAGTAATGTTAGTTTTAACTTCAGATACTGTTATTCACATTGGGTTTTGTTTAAAATGTTCTTTTAACGAGTTTATTAGAAAGATGTTTAGAATGTTGTTTTGCTGAAAAGAAGAGCTATTTTTAATTAAAAATTAAAGAGCATATAATTATTTCCTGTTATTATGTAATATGTTATCTTTTATTCTAGCTTCCTGTTGTGTACAGTACTGCCAGTATCCCACCTACATCTGTAACTGAACACATTTCCAGTAGTAGCTGTAAACCAATCGCATTAATTGCACCATTGTCTTCTGAACATTCCACTATTCAAACTGTAAAGCAGGAACTGCATTCTGTCTCTTCAGTTTCTATGCCCACTTCTTCCTGGTCTGGTTCTAAAGTATCAACTTGTAGAATAACAGATGCACACGTCAGCACAATTCAGACAAATACCACTTCTAATCCAGTTTTTACAACTAAATCAGAAACAAGATCATCAAAAGTTTCTCATGCAGTGAAAAGTAATTCTGCATATACTCAGCAACCTGCATTTCCCATCTCCAGCTACGAAGCATCTGTGGTAATATTTTATTATTTTTGTATAAGATTTATAAATTTTAAATTATATTAAAAACTTTGTTGTTATTCACATTAAGTATCTTCATTTATGAAACCTGTGCTCTTTTTACATTTTGTGAAAAGAAATCTTGATGCAAAAACTGGTTAACTTTTTCTTTGTGTGTGTGTGTACCACAGAGAATTTTCATAGTTGTTAGTAGTGTTGCAGGTATCATATTCTTTTTAAAAATGAATTTATAGTTCAAAGTAATTATAAAGCACATTGTATTTAAAATCGTACTGATTCCAAAAAGCATTTACAATCAAAATTTATATTTAAGATAAATTAATAGAAATAAGACTGATCACGCTTAAATTTTTTGTAATTTTTTTCTTCAAACTATGCATGCGCTACTCGTAAACATTCTCCTTTGTCGGAGACAAATTATCGACAATATTTGCTGCTAATATGAAGCAGTTATTTCCTCATATTTCATCAGAGATATATTTCTCATTCAATTTATTCAGTTTTCACTTCACGGCAAGGAAAAATACATAAAAGGTCAAAATATCTTTAGTAAAAATTCAGATATCAAAAAACACAAAACACCAAATACAGTTAATTAAAAAACAATTTTTGTAATTAAAATTAGAGTTTCTGCACAAAAACAAGTAATTCGGATAGCAAGCAGGAAGGCAGATTTTTCAGTGCACAAAACTAAAAATTTCCTTTTGGTTCCACTCACCAAAAAAGATACTATAGGTGCAGAAGGAGCTAATTTACTATTCTGTTAAGTTTCAAATGTAAACAAATATGGCTGCTATAGTAAGAAAAATTAGCCTTAGCTGCACTTAAATAACTTTTAAATTGTTGATAATTCTACAAATCTTGCATGCAAATTAACTAAAGGCATAAAAAGCTTAACTGGAAGATAAGAACAACATAATTCAGTCATTTTTAAAGCAAAAAATATTCGCAGTTTATAGTTTAAGGGTAGTCCAAATGTTTTATAAAAATAGTAATTTTATGGATTAAATAACACAAGATCATTCTTTATAAAAATTGTACAGTGATTTTTATGTTACATTTATATTATATTTTTCAGTGATAAAATTTAAGTTTAGCATTTTTAACAGTAAGATTATATAATATTGATATTTTTTCCAGATGTTTCTCGATTCTATGTAATGGAAATTTTGTGGCTCATAATTTCATGATTTGGAGAGATTATACTGTTTTAAGCCTAATGAATAAAATTTTTTGTGTATGTCAGATCTAACAAAACTTATTTTAGTAATCGTAATAAACATGTCTAACTTGAGGAAGTAGATATTGTAAGTATAGACAGATTTGAGGAAATTTTTATTAACTTTCTTGTATCTTTGTCATGTTAAAATGGTTGATTTTTTTATGAATGTTTTTCAGCTTAAACTAGATGAATATTGTATTACTTTCCTTAAACACAGACAAAACTAGTTTATATGAATAATGGGTTGTGATTTTGTATATAAGCATTTGCAGCTGAGTACGTCTTTCTTTCTTTATTTTATTTATTTATTTATTTATTACATTCTAAGCAAGAATCTTAATCAGTCCAGTAAACTTAAATACTTTATTTTTAATATCTGTACTTTTAATTGTGTGACTGGCATATGTGAGATACCTAGTGCTTTTTATTTAAAGGTATTTGTGTTTCTAAAACATACTCAAGGTTTTTTCATCACAGCTTTCAGCTGCACATGGTATTGGAGCTACATCTAATAATGGTGGAGGTGTTATTGCTGAATTACTTCAGAATCCCCGTCTCTTGCAGCAGCATAAAGAATATTTTGCTGCTTCTAATGGTCAACTTCAAGAAAGAATACAAAGCCAAATGGTTCGCCCAACAACTCCTGTTGCATCTAGTATTCCTCCCGACATTGCTACTCGGCTTGGGAATCCAACTCCTCCTCATACTCCTACACCTCCTGTTACTTCTTCAAATCATTCACTACCTCCTTCAGAAATTCATCCTTCCCACGTTAGTTCTGCACTTCATCTACGACATCCAGCACAGCCAGCTCATATGGTTCCATTAGGACTTCATTCAGATATAGCTTATGTTCATCAGCAAATGATGTATGCTCATCCATATGCAGCAGCTATTCATTCTGATCTTAGAGCTCAGCAAGAAGCACAGGCAAGAGCTGCTATTAGTATGAATCCTCGCTTTGCATATCCTCCCTTACCTCCTATTGCTGTTGCTGCAAATAGCTTCCGGCAACCGTCAGAACCTCGGCATCAACCATCTGTGATGGATGCAAAATCTGAACAAAAAGTGATAAATGATTTATCTAAAATAATGCATGAAAGAGCATCTGAAGAAAAAGTTAAGCAAGTTCGCATTAAAAAAGAAGAAAAAGAATTAAAAGTCATTCACTCTGAAAGCAGAGAAGACCATGAAAGTAGTCGTCATGTTCCTACTCACGAAAAAATCCCTTGTACTTCCACAGTTACACCCCACAGTGTCACTTGAGCAGCTTGCAGGCAGCAGCAACATGCACATTATTCTTCATCTATACGACAGCTAAGTCCACGGCTTGCTGTGTCACCTCATGATCGTGAGCGTATAACTGATTCTCCTGTGATTGCCAATTTATATACTGGTGGCCAAGGTAGGGTTCCCCCAATTTCCATTACTGGGCAACTGGACGATCATAAATCTGAGAGTAACTTAGGGTCACTTTCAGCACATCATTACAAAAGTGATCCAGAAAGCATTAGGCCACCAGTTGCTCATCAGACACAGCCTTCTACTATTCCATATCATACGCTTGATCCTGTTTCTCATCCTACATCTAGACAGCAAATGCTTGGTGTTCTTCAGATTGGTTCTGCAGCACCTGGACACTTGGATGGTAGAACTTCCAATCCTGCACATTCTCCTAGTTCACATGCATACAAAAAAGAATCTAATCATTCCCAGTTGGTATCATTGCATAATCCTGCCACTGAAAAACGAGTTAATCCTGATCATTCTAAAAAAGTAGTGCATGCTAGGACACTAAGCCATCAGGGATCCTCTACATCTCCAGGACCTGTGGGTCTTGGGCCTGCACATTCGCCAGTGCCATGGCCAGCTGTTATTCAGTCTCACAACTCGCATTCTTCACTTGCTCAGTCTTCTCATGTTATGATGCCATCTGCTGAACCATCAAATAGACGAATAAGTTCTCACCCTACATCCCAAATAGGATCAGATGTTCCAAGTCATGTCCCACCTCCTGCTCATGCAATGTCTCAACCAGCAAGTGTTCCTCGAACATCACAGACACCACCACATGCAGGACAAGTATCTGGTCATGCGGATGCTTTCATTTTACAAGTAGAGAAGATAATTTTCTTTTTCTTATTATGTTAATGGGTATGCATACTTTTTTTGTCACATAATTATATACAGGTATGTAATTTCATTGAATGTTCTAAATCGGCAGTTCTCAACCTTTTGACTAACGCATACCATCTAAACAAAAATTGAAAACCTTTAGTACCACCACTACAAAGTATTACTACCACCACCACTCTTGAACAGAGCTCAAATTGCATAAATTTACGAGTGTTAGAGAAAAAACTCAATCAGGATGTTGGGGTTTTAATTTTTGAATTTAATAGTTAAAAATACTTTGCTTCTTTGTGTACCACTGGTTCAGAACCCATGTTCTAAATGCTTTTAATAAGAAGGTTTGCTTTTAAATTATAATTATGTAGTTGCATTAATATTTTATGTTAAGGCTGTTTATCCAAAATTTTGAAGTTGTTTCTCTTGAATTGTTAGCTTGCGTACTGACTTCTTCATTTTATTTTCAATCAATTAACAGTGTTTATTATTAATATCCTTATTTTAGTTTAGCATTTGAAAAATAAAAAGATTCATGTTTTTTATTAAATGAACATCATAGTAATAAATTAGGTAGAACATATTTCATAAAGATAAAGTTACTTCATATTGCTTAAAAGTAATTTATAACTTTTTTTTAATAGATATTACATTTTTTATAAATGTAACACTTTTATTTGTTTTTGTATAACATGCATATCTATTAATTTTCTTCATTTAAATAAAAAAATATTGAGACATGATCTTCATCCACAATCATGATTTATACAATTTATAAAATGGGTCTTTCATTTATGTGTATGTATACAATGCATATATATTAAGTTCTCTTGTTTTAAATCTTGGGAAAAATGAAGCACCAAAAACTTTTAATTTGCTTTAATTTATAGAAATGAAACTGAAACATATATGTAAATGAGCATATGCCATTCTGAGAAAAATCCCTAAAGTGTAATAATTATTTATAAAATAAATGTGTACTAGTAGTACAAATGTATTATTTATTTGGAAGTCGTTAACATTTTAAAAATAACCCATGTAATTTCCCCCTTCTTGGCAATATTTTTGTTATGTAAATTATATTGTTACATTTTTCTTATGTATGGGTTCATGGATTTAGAGTGAATAATGAGAACAGTACTTGATGAAATATCAGAACACAATTAATTAGCTAGTATTACTCAAGACAGCTTCCAAAACATGTTTACAATTGTTGGAATGGCAAACACACTGAAACAATCAGCAGCACAGCTTTCAGGCTATCAGTCTATAATGGCGAAGACAGCTTCATGGCAAAGCACCAGAGTATAGCTTCCAACTTGGTTCAATCGTTCTCAGAACTCTACGTACTCTCAAGACTCGACGCTACAGTTCGTGAAGCACTAGACGATACACTCATTAGCCTCAATGATGCACACTCTTGATGCATCAACTCGCGATATAGCTGATGACCAACTCAAAACTAGACTGACGATCATAACTCGCACTTGATGGACTAGATACTGACTGACTGATCAGCTTGCAACATAGTGACGAGACACCTCGGCACTAGGCTGAGGGTGAGCTTGCTAGACGATGAGATAATACTGGCTCATTTGCAATCGACTCGCACTCATTGACTATTAACTGACTCTCCATGTACCAGCAGGATTTATATAGCTTTTGGCTTGCGTTCGGGAACATTTTGGGCCAAACCCGTAAGAATCCTTTCCAGAAAGTTCTCCATCCACCTGTGGCATATTGCTAATTTTGTCACCAAATGGGCGACTTCTATTGGAGCTGGGTATTTTTTAACACTGCCCCATCCCAAGGACTGCACGTCCTGGGCAGTACAATCCTTGGTCAGATATGTACTGCCATGTTGGACACATGTGAGCGAAACTTCAATGACCTGTTGGCGGGACATGAGTCACGTGTAGTTTTTAAACTCAAATATCATGTCAGCCACTTTTCTCATCCCCTTTTGATTCAAATATGACTGGTTTGGCACAGTGTTTCAAATATGACTGGCATGGCGTATTGTATCAAATATAAACACATAGGCAGTTAGTCCTATGTTGGAGCCGTGCTAGCTACCCACAAATGACATTTTTTCCCCAGTATCATTGTTATTTATTTTTTTTTTATGGCCGGAACACAAAAATGTTACAATGGCCATTTCTAAAATTTCTATATCATAGTATCTTGTTACCAGTCTTTTCCTTTTTTTTTTTCTTCCTATATAATAGCCATTTGTTAGTGTGTCAATATATATGTTGAACAGAACAGAGTTACAACCTTTGTCAAGAGATATAAATTACCAGTTATTAATTTAGGCACTTTTCAAATTGGAGGATGTGCTGTATTTAGTATTTTACTTAATTTGTTATTATTTTTCATGTTATAACGTGTCTAAGTGGATCTATTTTAATATGGCTCCCAAGTTATAGGCTTCCTATGATTGTTCACTGTTGGAACAACATTTTTAGTTTAATGTCTTATTAAATCCAGTATAAAACTAACAAATGAAAGTATTTTGTAAATTTCAAAATGAAGTGGAATGCAAAATTATGTTTTATTTAACTTAGTGTTTTGTGAAGAGAGTTAAAGTGAGGAAGATTGGTGTTGGTGTATTTAATTATGGCAAAGCTCACTAGGGGCTATCTGCCTAAAGGGAGGGATGCCTTCGTGGAGGACTTTCTAAGGGAAACTGGCTCGTGTACACGTTACACATGGGGAAAACCACGAAAACACCCATGCAGCCAGCCCGTTCGCGGGATTTGAACCTCGGACCGAACTACCAGTGTCAGCGACTTTACTGCTCGGCCGCTGGTGGGCTAAAGTGAGGAAGAAATTAAATTCTTTCACAGCATATATGCAGTCTTAATGGCAGTTTCCGAACCTTATTAGGTACTTGCATATTATCCCGTCAATCAGCCAAGTAGCATGATTGAGCACCAGTTATGGATGACCATGTCCTTTAGAATTCCTCTGTAATGACTTGTGACCGTTGCTGAAATTTCTGCCAATGGTCGACAGGATAGTGCATATACGAGTATATCTTAATATTATTTTGGAAATAGATCAACTTAAACTTTTAAATAGTAAAATTTCTGCTTAACTATTACTACCAGCAGTTCTTGGTATTATAACATGGATAATTAAATTGTGAGTATTTAATAATTTGTAAATAACTATTCATATAATTTTGATAGAATATTTTTTTGTGCTTTTTGTTTAAAAATTATATAAAAGTTTTTATGAGGAAGTTTCAAATTTGTTTTTTTAAATGAATGCATATCCAAGTAACAGAGTTTTAGCTAATGACTTTTTTTAATTTAACCTCAGAGCTACTGAAGACTTAATCACATCAATTACACACCAATCACACAGTTATTCATATGATACGAGATAAAGGTTAATTTGCATATGTTGAAACTTTGGCCAGTAATCTTTGAATAGATTGGTAAAAGTATATTTTTCAATCCTTTTCTCTTGTATATGTATAATGGAACCATTGATTATCTGTTGTAGAAGCATTGTGGTTGTCTGTAGTACATTAATCATTATCAGAAAACTGCACCTATGTCTGCCTTCTTAAGCTTTGACACAACAAATTTACTAAGTGATATATTTGCTATTTCTATGTGATGTATTGTAAATTGTAAATGCAAATTATTTTGCATTTCAACCAGTACATGGTTTGTACGTAACCTAGCATTTTAAGATATACTTATTTTCAACTTTCAGAGATGCATTTTCTTTGATACACAAATTTACTGTCACCATATTTGTTCTGTGTTTGTAACTAGCATATGGTATTCAAAATAAGTTAGTTGTTTGATAATTGAATTTATTCTCAATCCAGATAAATGAGTTTAGTCTCCAGTTCTTAGTTTCATAATATCAGTTCATTAGGGATCTGTTACAATGATATTTTTTTCCCTTTATTTAGGTAAAGAATTAGTTCATTTTTTTAATATTAAAGTGTATGGTTTATTTTAATATGTAAATTTCTTACAATAGCGTTATCCTGTTATGTGGCAAGGATTGTTGGCCCTAAAAAATGATCAAGCTGCTGTACAAATGCATTTCGTCTCAGGAAATCCAAATATTGCAAGGGCCTCTCTTCCTCCAATTGTTGATGGGGAACCATCACCAGTTAGGATAGCACAAAGAATGAGGCTAGAGACAAGTCAGTTAGATGGTGTGAACAGAAAAATACAGGTATATTTACATACTATATCTGGTTTTTTAAAAAGTGTATTTTCTTATATTTTTTATTTCAAGTTTTTAACAAAACTGCCCGCTTTATTTCACATGAATAACTTTATAAATACACTGGTTATCATAAATTAAGGAAAAATCACAAAAATAGCGATAACTCCCTAAAAAATAAGCCAAACTCTGTAAAATTTGAATATGTTGGCAAGTAAGAGTAGCTGAATAAAACTGCAATATGCAAATTAGTGGCGCTGCTTTCGGAATACGTCATCTGCGAGGAGCATAAAAGTCCATGTTTTGAGAGCAAGCCCACATATTTCACTGTGACAGTGACATCAGAAATCTGAGATAGCCAATTCGTACCAATGACCTCCAGGCATCATTTGCCTGCAGAACTGCGATGGAGAGTCATTGCGAGACTAGAGGCAGGATAAAGTCAAACAGAAGTGGCCAGATGGCTAAATGTGAGTCCTTCTGTTGTCCTTCTGTAGAATTTGGAGGCAATTTCAAACCACAGATTTGGCATGTAGAAGGTGCAGCCAAGGAGGCCAACTGCTACGACGAGCGCCGATGACTGATATTTGACATTATGTGCACATAGGAATAGAACCGCTGCTCCGACTCTTCTTAGATCCTCCCTTGCTGCAGCCACCGGAAGGTTCGTGTCAACGTCAACTGTGCGTAGAAGGCTTCACGAAAGTGGTCTGTATGCGAGGCGACTGTCCATTTGTGTGCCGCTCACGTCACGCCATAGGAGAGGCCGTTTTCAGTGGGCACGACAACATGTCCACTGGACGCCTGATCAATGGAGGGTGTTTCTCTTTACGGATGAGTCTGTAAAAAATCTTTACGGATGTCCGTAAAGATTACGGATTGATTTACGGACATCTTTACGAATGAGTCTGTAAATAGAAAGCGGTAGTAGACGTTATTTGATATGGAGAGAACCTAGAAGCCGTTATCATCCGTCAAACATCCGTGAAAGAGATGCATACGGAAGGGGCAGTGTCTGTGTTTGGGGTGGCATCTCTTTGACTAGAGGCACAGATCTCCATGTCCTTCCAAGGGGAACCGTAAATGCTCAAGTTTACAGAGATGACATCCTTGATGTTTATGTGCGCCCGTATGACGGGGCAATAGGGGATGCTTTCCTGTTACAGAACGACAACACAGACTCGCATCGTAGATGACCACACAGGGCTCGCATCGTAGATGATTATCTTCAATAGGAATGCGCATGGAGTGGCCAGCTCGATCCCCGGACTTGAATCCTATCGAGCACATATGGGATGCTTTAGAGAGACGTCTAGCTCAGTACGCCCCCCTCAGACCCTTGTCACACTTGCAACTGCTTTGCAAGAGCAATGGCTCTCGCTTCCTATGGAACTGATAGCCCGCATAATTGAAAGCATCACCATCGCTGTATGTGCTGTATTGCTTCTAGAGGCGATAATATTCCATATTGAAGGTACTTTTCGTATAGCAAACTGACACCTTCGATTTGTTCATTTTATACATGTGATAATTTCTATACTACCATATTTGTCTGGTAATTTCTTTTCATGCTATTTGATACCTTACTTATGTGTTGTATATTGTGGGTAAGTTTCATTAAATTCTACATGTAACTTTTTCAGTAATCATGATTTCTGTGATTTTTCCTTAATTTATGATAACCATTGTATTTAAGATGTTTTCAAAACCAATGACTAATTGTTGCTAAAATTGCTTTCTCTTGCCCTTCCATTGTCATCGAAAATGTTTAAGAGGTGCAATTATTTAATGTAGGTAATGAATGAGCATTGTGTTCTCATGGCCTTGCCCTGTGGAAAAGATCACAGAGATGTCGTGCAGCAATCAAATAATCTAAAGTATGGCTTTATTAACTACCTTCAGTGCAAGCTGGCTGCGGGAATAGTAAATGCTGCTGCTCCTGGTTCTCAGCAGGTGAGTAAATCTTCAGGGAAAGAAATAAAGATTAGGAGTTCTAAATAAATTTATAATGCTATATCTGCATAATCTTATTTGCTATCGTAGGTTATATATTGTGGACAACTTTGTAGTCACATAAATTATGTATTATATTTAGAAAATGTATTTAAAAATTTATAGCAAGTATTTCTTTTATAGGCAATTATTAATGTCTGCAGTCTCCCCCAAGGTAACGCAGTCGTGTATCCTGTCTGTTGTCCATAATATATTTTGATCTTTTTATTCTAAACAAAGGTGGCAATTAAAATGAAATTATAATTTAAATTCCTGCATGATACTTAACTTCTTCTGGAACATTGTTACATGGACAATGGTTAAAATGTTGTTAATTTGTAATCACAATAGGTACAAGTTAAAATTTCCTTTGAACTATGTTTATGCTTCGCAACATCCAGATCAAATCTGTTCACTAATCAACCATTGTTGAATAACATTCGCACTTAGGGAGTGTCCGATTTCTGGTCAGTTAAGATGTTAGATATTATGTCATGTATTCTGAGAAGACTGTGGAGATGGATATGTATGTAAGAGCAAAATTCATTTGATCTCCATTAGCAATATTGTCAATTTTATATTTCTCAAGAGATTTTTAGCAGTAAAAATTCATCAAAGATTGCTCAGGGCAATAGTACCAGCACACAGCAGTAGTCACACCATTTCAAGTATGGTACTGAAATATCATGTAGCTCTTTGTGGTGATTACAAAAGTGGACTTGAAACTGAGCATACGATTAACGCCATTTAAAGAAAACCTTTGCATGATTTCAAGGTATTAAAATATCTTTAAGTCCACTTGTCGTGTTATTACAACTAAGAAACTGCACATATTCAAAATTGATCCTACACAAAACAGATCAAGAGTAGTTAGTGGGCATGTATGGATTATTGTAGAATAAATTTGTGAATTCGTGAGACATGTATCCATTTACATTGATTACCCTAAAGAAAATAAGATGAAACAATGAAGTGGTATCAAAGCATCTGACATCATCATTGTGCTGTGATAGTTTCAAATCCTAGCAGGCATTACCTTTGCCATGGAGTGCAATGGCATTTATTACTGTGAACATTGGAGACAATATGTAGTATGAATTATTCCCTGAATTCCTGCCGAATCTCGCAGTTAAGTGGCATCACAAATGGAATTATATTAACCCTCTTGCTGCATTTCCCTTTGATTTCTACAAACAATGTAGAAGTAGCAAAATTTGTGCAATCCGAAATTTCCGCAGGGATGCATTTTTTCTGTCTATTTAACTATGCAACCCGCTCTTTCAGCTTTCTGTGATCTTTAATTGTTTATTTAGATACAGGTTAACACATGGCGTTAAGTTTTCTGTATTTCTGCGAAATATACAAGCATGTTTTGTACAATTTTGTGTGCTCTTTTCAAAATTCGGATGTGTGTAATTCAACTCTCAATCCCATGAGACAAACTGCTTGATATTTTGCTAACCCCCCGTCCCATCAAGAAAGAGCCTTGTAGATCGTGTGCTGTTTATTTCTAAAAAAAAAAAAAAAAAAAAAAAAAAAAAAATGAAACTGGCAAAAAAATTCACAAAGGAACTTGGATTTGGTGCAAAGATTGCGAAGTAGGACTTTGACTCGAACCTTGTTTCGAATTTCATTTCTAATAAATATTTTGTAAGTATAGTGCATATTTTCATAAGTATGTATGGTTTGCTTTTGTATTTCTTAAAATAAATCATAATTTAACCAAGATTGTTTTCAAAAGTTTGCTTTTATATGATTATTCTTCAGTATCAATTTTCCGACAACCTTTTTTTATGATTTAATTCTATATTGGGGGAAAAAACTCTCTTACAAAAAATTGTTGTACATTTTAAGCCTAAAATATATGTAGATTTGAAATATGTAATAAAAAAATTAAACAGTTTTTTTAACCTATTTAGATTTAAAAAATTACACAGCAAGAAGATTAAGGGATTGCTTGATGAAAATGCCAAATCTCAAATGGCTGTAAGGACTTGGGTGGATTCTAATGTTTGTTGAATGTTTGATTCAGTCACCATATTTCCTGGAATTAAGTTCTGGTGATTGTAATTGTTTCCAATAGTTAAAAATTGCAGTTTGTAACACACTGTATTCTGCTTTTCAGTGCATAACTACTAACTTCAGATTTTTTCAACATGCCGCTGAGCCTCCCAGTAGATCACCGAACCTCATAGTTTAGAATGCAGTTAAGGAAAATTTTTCCAGCAAGTATTAATGAAACTTTAATTGTGCAAATTCAATCCCTTCCCCGAGCCCCCCCCCCATCCTTAGTGATTTTCAGTATAATTTTTCTTACTAAATTTTATTTAATCTGAATGGCTTAATTTCCTTAAGGCATTTCTAGAACTTATTCAGACAGTGTTTAATTAGTTAGTGTTTGTATTTAATTTTGTTTTACGCTAGTATATGGTATATTATATTTATCTGCACAATAGTATGTACATTAAATATTAATTTTATTTTTATCATATTTAAAAATACATTAAAAATGCTCCAAAGCTCTTCCCTACTCAAGATTACCTCAGAATAAAAAGAAAGTGAAAAAGGAAATCTGTTAAAGAACAAATTTAAAATATATGAATAAATATCAGTATGTTTTGCAGTAAAATCAGATCATAAATACACTGGTTTCCAAAAATTCAGGAATGTTTTAGGTGGGTATGTCAACGTTTTCACTTCACGGCTAATCATTGGAAGGTTGTTCTTTTTATGGATGAGTCCAGGTTTAGCCTCCAAAGCGAGAGTAGATGTTACTTGATTCAGAGAGAACCGAAAATGATTATCATTGATCAAACATGCGTGAAAGAGATGCATGCAGAAGAGGTATCTCTTTGGTTGGATGCACAGACCTCCATGTCTTTCCATCTGCAACTGTGATTGCTGAGGCCAATAGAGATGACATCCTTGATGCTTGTGTGCACCCATGTGCCTTGGCAATAGGTGATGATTTCCTGCTACAGAACAACAGTGCTAGATCACACAGGGCTTGCATCATGGATGATAATCTTCAGCAGCAAACAATTCAGGGCATGGCAGGACTTCAAAGAGAAGGGCTAGCTCATACAGCTTTTTCCCCTGAAACAGGCAGTGGGGAGTGATGACGTAGCCATGATGACACTGAGCGCGGAGATGCAATTGACAACATAGAAATTAGCGTTTTAAATCTGAAGAACCAGCGTTTTAAAATGAGCTATGTTTGAAAGATAGCTATAATTTAGAAGAGACAATGTTACTGCAGTATTTACACTGAACGTTAAAAAATGTAATAGTAATAGTACTTACTCAATTTTAAAATAACAGATAAAATGCGCTACTCTTAACATAAAGTTCCTTTTTTTTTAATTTGCAGGGATTTTTTTTTCTTTAAATGCCTGTTTATTTCTAATCATTTCTTTATCTGCATGTTAACTAAGAGAACTGTACTACTGCTTGTAAGATAACTATAATAACAACTATTTAAAATTAATCAAAAAAAAAAAAAAACTTAAATTGGCATGATTTTCAAAATTTTTGCTAATCTAAGTTTGAGTTTCAGCCTAATTGTAAATTTTACATTGGCATATTTTTCTCCCGATTCATTGTAATAACATATATTTTTTTAAATAATTTTGTAACTTAGGCTTAAATCAATATTAAATTTAAATAAATGCATGTAAGATTGTTATCTTAATTTAGACAAAAAAACTTTACTCACAGTCCTAAAAAAATATTTAAGTTTTCAAAAATGGGGGTTAAGGAGGCAGGTTTTCTTATCCCAATTACTTTGATCTTATACTATTATATTTTATCTAGAATGCTAAGCTAGCACAAAATCGAATCGATAATAACACAGTGTACAATAAAAGTAATTTTAACAATAACTTAACAAAATTAGTTCTCATTTGAAATATGCTATTAACTTCTAAAATGTCATCTAGAAATAGTTCAAATCAAAACATAGTATATATGCTTACTTGTACAGTCACAATGCAACTACAAGTTGTTGAAATATTATTTATTGGCTACCACATTCAAAGCAATCCACTTTTTTGTCTTTTGTGTTGTAAAAATATGTTTTAGATGTTTTTCCAAATTCTCCAATCTGTGCTGTTTTTTCCTAAATTTCGCTGTTTGGGATTTTAAATTCTGAATTTTTGTTACAAATTTCTTTCTAGATGTCATCCAGCCCACCATTGGCCGAACGGTAACATCGCCGAACAGTGGTAGTTTGGTCTGAGGTTCGAATCCCGCGAACGGGCTGGCTGCATGTATATGAGCCAGTTTTCCTTAGAAAGTCCTCCACGAAGGCATCCCTTCCTTAAGGCAGATAACCTTAGTGTGCTTTGCAGTAGTCCAATAAAACCAAACCAAAACCTAGATGTCTTCCACCTTCTTTGTCGCTGAGCAAACATTCTACAGTCAAAAGTCGTTAATTCGGACACCCATAATCCGGACCTCAAAGCTAAAAACTTTCTGCGCATGCGCCTCGTTGACACATGCGCATAGGCGTTTACGCGTGTGCGAAAGACCTCTTACGTCTGCGCATATGCGTGTGCGCAAGCACAGAATACGTTTTCGCGTGCACGTTTTATGTATAACGGACGGTATAAGCTAAAATTATCTAATTATCTATTTCAGTTAATGTTGATGATTGCGTTTTTCCTTAATTTTCGAATTGGATCCGGCTTATTATTTTTTGCAGACCGTAAGAGCAATACTGTAAAAGTAAACTTGAACTTTCGATTATGTCAAATAGAATTTCCGATTCTGGAGCTCCCAAAGGATCGTACAAAACGAAAGTATGTTTCGATGTTCATCAAACAATCGTGTTCTTTATAAATTTTAACATTAAAGCTCTGGGCTGTTGATTGAGTTCTTAAAATTTAACTATTTTCAGTGAGCTGAAAATTTTACATCAAGTTTATGTAAAAAGTTTTAAACTGAATTAGGAACAGTAATCTTTCCAAGATGACATTCATTAACAGCGTACTGTTTCCCATATGGATGGGAAATGTTTTAATCTCTCAAGGCTTGCTGAAAGGTGCTGATCTTGATTAACCAAGCGCTGCGTTCATCTGTCTCGAAAACCGCGACGCAGCGCTTTAGTGCTGCACATTTCAGGGTGTCTTTGTTGCTTTATAATACGAAAAGAATTATTAAAATTGATTGATATTTTTCTAAATGAGAGTGTTTTATTTGACAACATTAAGTCAAAATATGTCCCACAGTTTTCGTGTGTTCTTGCAAGAATTGCTTAGTAGTCAAACGGTTGAAAAGTATTAGAGAATATAAAAAATGTCCTGAATGTTGGAAATACTAGGAATTTATTAATTTGAATCAAAAGAATTTATAACCACAAATGTATACAGAGTCTCATAGTTTTGCATTGCAGTGCAGTTCAGTTCAGTTCAGTGTGCTTTAATGTGATGTACAGGTTGACATTAAAAAACAATGTAATACTGGAGTGCTGGATTTTTTAAAAGGCCATATTTTTTACATAGTGCCATTATATATGCTGTATATATTTAACAGAAAATGATTACCTGTTTAGCCCTTTAAAGAAAGAAAATTAAGCACTAAATAAGAAACAAATAAAATATTAATGTTTGCCAACTAAAACAGCTATACAGAATTTTAGTTTAGCCGAATAAAATAATTTACTGAATTTTACCGAATAAACTGTACCTCAAAATTGTAATTAAAATAAAGATGCTAAGAATTTTAGTATAATTAAATAAAGTAGTGCCTCAGAATTTTAATCATTACTGTGTTCTTGAATAGAAGCTAAATAGTTGATGCTGTCAGGATGATTATCTTCATGATCGACAGTAACAGCATCCTCAGCAATTGCTTCAAGACTGCAGAAAAAGCTTTTGATGTATTTGTGCTAGCACATTTGGTTAACTTGACAATCCACTACTATAAGCTTCAAGTGTGGACACCACTGCTGCTTCTTCCAGCTTCCTAGCTATTTCTTAAATATATCGTGCAGTGTCAGTTGCTTGGATCTTTTTCTAACTTATTTATCTTTTATCAAGCAAAGATTTATGATTTATTGTTCAATTCTAAAACTTCATTCCTCTAATCTAGCCAGTAGTTCAGTTGTCAACATAATTTAACATGTCAATAGGAGCTGCTTCTCTCATTTTTCATTTTCTTTGCTGCTGTCATCTTAATCACTCATTACCTGTACATGCATTTCCCTTCAGTCTTTTAACCATAGCTTTTCTTTGGAAACCCTACAAAATTATTTTCACTCACTAGCATGAAAAATAAGCACTAAACTGAGCCACAGCTTAATCATTTTTTAGTGTTGATGTGTTTCCATACACTTCCTTGCATTGGCAACACAGCACACTGCATATTTAGTGTTAATTCTTTTATGCACTTCTGTACTAGGGTGTCTGAATTAACTGAATCACCAGGGATCTCGTTAACGGGGGGTTAATACTTCATATAAAACATATAATATTAAAGTTGAATTAGTATTGTGTAAAATCCCAATGGTGAATTATTGATATACAAGTTATGAGAACTTGCAAATGTTTTCCCTCTTTCATTCACTTCCTTACAAACATTTGCTTTTTTGATCCATTGAGAGTTTAAAAATATCATACACTGTTGAAGATGTTTATTGTTTCTTACAAACATTTGCTTTTTTGATCCATTAAAACTTTTTAAATATCATACACTGTTAAAGAGCCAGTGTCATGTTTCGCAAATGGTTTGCACAGACAGGCTATCAATTTTTTTAATGCACTTGTCCTTCATCTGCAGTCGACACTAGCACTTTCCTTTCCTGAACCCATAATAGAACTGTATAACAAAGTGAGAAGAAACAAGCTTGAATGCTTATCTTCTAGAAAACAGTGGCACACCAATGCGGTCAATTTAAAAATTCGCCCTAAAATCTATGCCAGAAAACTGAAGGAACCAGAGTATTGATGACCAGATTTTTTTTAAATTTTAACCTTTATTTCCAGTGAAAGATAGTAAGTATCTTTGACCTTAGGCTTATCTTCAACCTTGCATATCTATTTTTAAGTGTAATTAACTGTTTAAAGTGGGGAGAGCCCCACTATCTTGAAAGTGTCTAAAGCAGTTAACTTTTGTCTCTTCATCAGATGAGATTGAAGAAATACATAGCTTTGTCATTGAATAGATCTGTCGCTTTGTTGTTCACCCCAGCTTTTCCCTTTTCTTTCGGATAATCTTGAAATAAGACATACCAATATTCTTGAATAGTTAAATCCATTGGAATACTACTGTAGGGCTGTGGTCTTTGTATTCCCTTTCTCGTCATCAGAAGAAGCAGTACTGTCTGATTATCTGCACCTCCACTTTCAACATTTGGCCAGATTGCCATGTTTTTGGTGTATTTTCAAGTTTCACGCAGCAATAACCAACTCAGACAAGATTCTACCTTGCTTGTGTATTTATACACTTGGATGTTTTATCATAATTTCTTTCATTATTATCTATCAGCTGTAAATGTTGACCATATTTTTTTTTTTCCTTTTTAAATTTCTCATTCTTAAAAAATGTTTCTTTTTATTATTTATTAACAGAACAATATCTGTGAATTATAAATTTAGACAAACATTTTTCACCAATTCATAAAGTCGCCAGTTACTGGTGACTTTTTTGTAGGGGTGCAAATAATCAGAAAGTGCTATAAGAACTTCCCTATCAGCTCACTCATATGCAAGGAAAAACATTTTTGAAGTTCTTCAGCTAAAATATAAAGAAGTGTGTTTACTTCCCTGTTCTTCTGCTCATTGCCTTTGTTTATGCAAATGCATTGATAATAGAAACTAAAACAAATTTACTCAATATTTAATGCAGGATAATATTTAATGTATATTTAATTAAGTTCATTGTGCTGAAGATTTTTCAGGGCTTTACATTCATTTGTGAGACATTCGTAATGTGAACTATCACTTTACAATTTATCATAAATATTTAGTTTTTAACATTAATTTTTAGCTCTAATTGTTCTTCTTTTTACAAAGACGTATTGTGTAAATTTTGAAGGACTTACAGTTGCATATGTTTACTATGAACTTTAGGAGACAAGGTTATGAATGAAATCTCCAGTTCCTCATTGTTAAGTGGCATCACATTTAAGAGCATGCTAAGTGGTTGCTTGATGACGGTATCAAACTTTGATGAATAACAAATCAAACTCAAGAATATAGTTGGAATTAAGGGGGGGAGCAAAAAATAAAAGTAGAGTATTAAAATCTGGAAATATTTTTTCTAAATATTGTCTTTTGAGCATTTTAACATAATGTATTTTAACTAGGGTTATATTTAGACAGGTTTATACATTGTGCCCCAAAATGAGAAGATATTCTAAAAATAAAGGGTTTGTTAATGAGTTGCATTCTAAAGAAACAAGGAAGGAAGCAGAATAATTTCAAGGAATGTTGCTTGATGTTTCATTTAAAATTTGATTTTTCAAAATAATAATAATAATAATAATAATTAACTAGAATAATGTTTTTAAATAAGAGGAACATGTAAGTGAACTATGCATGTGGAATTTTATTCATCAAAAATGCTTTACCAATAGGAGGAGAATTGAAAAAAAATATGACATATGTTAAAATTTGATTCAATGATCTCCAATTGTAAACTTAAATCATAATTTGATTTAGAACTCAGTTTGAGAATATTAATGATGCCAAAAAAAAAGGCTATTTTGATGAATTATATTGAAATAAACTTTTGATTCAAAGCATTGCGAATTTCATTAATCCTTCTTATTGTATAATTATTTATATTGTAGAGAAGAATTTGTTATTAATTATTTAAATTGCATAGATTATATGATAAGTAACATGTGTTCTGGTCATCATTCTATGTTGTCTGTCATGTTGTACTGGTCATCATTCCATATTGTTGAATAAAAAATGAAAGATTTAACATCAGATGAGCAGCTAATTGAATTGCAAGTCCATCTAGTCTAAGCATGAAATTCTCTCAATTTGAAATGTATTGCATTCTAAGAGGCCAAAAATATTCTGTAGAAAATGAGTTATCTATCCAAACTTCTAAATGGGTAAAGGGGTATTTGTTCACTATCGTATAACATTCAGTAAAAATGGAACCATTTGTTTGGAATGATGAGAAAAGGTCGAATTTAGTAGATGGCTCTGATGACTGAAATTACTTGAGCAACTTCAGGAAAGGAGAGTTTTAAAATGTTTTTGGCAAACAAGGGCAAGTATAATAATTTGTCTTTCAGAATGCAGTGAACAATAGATTTAGAAACTTTTATATCCGCAGAAGGAACTTGAACTGAATTGCTTGTTTGATGAAGACTTGAAGTCAGAAACATAAGAAGTCCGATAATCTTCTCAGTTTCAGATAAATGAAGGGGGAGGGGGAAATGGAAATGATTAATAAATCTCAAAACGTCTTGAACTAGTAGTTTATTTCAAAGTAATTCATAAAAATTCCAGGTATCATTATTATTTTACATGTATTGAATCTAGTTCATATTTAAGCTTAAGAAAGAAAAACTATATAAACAGTTATTAAAGTCTCATTTCATTTCTCTTAACAGAAACCGTTTGATGCATGAGAGTGAAATTACACTATAGATATATTAAGTGGTTCTAATTTTCTGAGACTATATTCTGAAGCAGATACCAAAGCAAAATTAACATTTTTATGATTTTAATTCAAATTCGTATGTAAGATATTGTGAAATCTTCAATTAAAATCTAGAATTTATTTAAATTTTATATTTGTTTCATAAGAATTTGTGATTCGATGTAGAATTTTAGGACAGCTGTATCGTTTTGCGGCTATGCGTATATTTCTGAATTTAAATACTAAACTATTAGATTGTATTTGTCATTTATGAAACTAAGACCTTTTCTTTTGTTTTTTTCTTATAGCCTGCGTATGTCATCCACATTTTTCCATCATGTGACTTCACAGAAAATCATCTGTCAAGGATAGCACCGGACTTGTTACACATCATAAGTGATATTACCCATCTGGTGATTATTATAGCAACTGTTTGAATAAGAAAAAGATTTTAATTGTGTCAGGTTTTATGCTGTTAATATCTGCTGCTGTATAGTAGCAGAATAACTTCCAAGTATCCGGCCCAGGCCGAAGCTGGGCATGAAGCCCCCACTGTGGGCTGAGAAGTTGTGATCTCTCTCATGGAGCACTGGCTCATTTACCAGCACGTGTTTGAATGTTTCCCATGTGATCTTTCTGACATAACATGTACCAAATGTTTTATCCAAATGATTTAAAGGCTAATTTTCAAAGCTTTAACCATATATGTTTTCTCGAATAATATTTTAATCTACTTATGTTTTTATAAGTGCATTTTTGTTTATAGCTCTTGCTATTCTTAAGAATTCAAATCCTTTTTTTACATTGAAAATGTCATTCATTTTAAAAGCACAAAATATATACATATGCTCAAAGAAAATTTGAAAAAAAAAATATTGCCATGCATTTATGGTTTGTACTTGTCAGATTCAATGGGAACTGTAATTTTATGGAGGTCTTACTGTATGCAAATACTAGATGCTCAAAGCAGTTTATAAAAATGTTCAGACTTTACTCTTACTGTTCTTCATAATTGGAAAAATTATGTATGAACCTGGCATAAAAAGAAATGTTGTACAAAGCCTATCAAAAAGCATCTGTGCGCCACCTGTATTTAATTTCATATTACAGGAACTGTTTTGTTATATATGTGTTTAATGAAAGTAAATTAGGTCCATTCTCTGTACAGTACCATTTGTTCATCAGTGTTCTTCTCCGTGGCTCCCAGTCATAATGTAAAAAGAATCATTTGTTACATATTTTCATCAACTACAGAAGGTCACTTTAAGGGGTAATTGACCCATTATTGAGTTTTGTTGTCGTTCATGGGGCCATACGGTTGTAAATTTTGTATATAAATATATGTTTTAGTGATTGTACATTCTTAAAAAAAAGAAAAAAAAACTATAAACCCCCATAGGGCTATTAGTGATATGGACTTAATTACTGCCCAGATGATTGCTTTCAAAGTAAAATCATATACAATTGTACATGAGTTAGCCTGCCCAAATGTAATAAATTTCCCTTATCATGTGTAAGATATCTATACATATTTGCATATAAATATATAAATATAAATACATATATATATATAAATATATATATATATATATATATATATATATAAATATAAAATGAAAAACTGTGTTGCTCTTCACTGCTTCACCTTAAAAAAAAATTGAGCTTAATGAATGTATGGGCTAAGGATAAGACAGTCCCTGTAATAAGCAGAATGCAGGGAAGGCAACATGTAAAAACTGTAAATTTTGTTTTTGTTTTGTTTTCCATTTTGTACAGGCACAGGTTTATGACGTCGAGAGACAGATGATTGTAGAGTGGCGTCTTTTCATTGCATCTGTTTCCCATATTTGCTCAAAGGCCATCACTGCAAAGAGTACCAGCAGATATTTTCACTTCTTTCATTGTGATTTCCACCAAGTTCAGCTGCTCTATTTTTGATGTGAAAATTTCTCAAGTGTCTATATTTTGTGTCTTTGCAGCCCAGTTATTGTATATATTCCAAAGGGGCTGCTTTGATTAAAATTGTTTTTCTGCTGAAGCACTCGAAACAGTGAGTTAAGTTATTCGTAAAGTCAGTAAACAGCTATCACATTAAAATTGTGTTTGTGTCTTTTTATTTATTTATTTATTTATTTTTAAGATTTCAAAGAACATTGCTATCAAGGAACATGTAGTTTTAAGCTACTAATTTTAAAAGTAAAGAATACACAATTAAACATAGAGTCCCCACTTTAACTAAGTATCCAAATTTATTGTACATACATTTAATTTTAAATGTTTAAAACATAAGATCTCTTTATTTAATTCTAACAATATACTATTCTTCACAAGAGGGAAAGGGGAAATGGAAACAATTTCTATTAAAAACAAGGTATTAGAAAGTTTATAGAGATACTAAAGGAGGAAAAATAATATTCAAGAAAGAATAAGATATGTATATATAATTTTTTTTAACATTGTTTTAGGTAAATGCACTGAATAGTAAAGTTTTTTAAATATCACAGTAGACTTACTCGTGTGATTAAAATTAAAATTATGTGCTAAAACAGCCAGAGAATTCTAGCAAATTGAATGAAGCCTTGCATAAGTCATTTGTGTAGTACACTTTTATTATTCTTTGAAACTTCGTTATTATCCAATTCATTTTAACTGCGTAGTAGGACCAAGAATATTATGGCAGCTAAAAAATTATTACACTTTTGTTGTTTTGTTATAGTGCATTTTCGAAAACTATGTAATGTAGCATTTTTTTATGTTAATGTATACTTTTTAATTTATTGAAGGGCAAAAATGCTGAAAGAACTATTCTTTTTGTTTTGTTTAGTGCATTTAACTAAACCATGTAATTTAGAATTTTTATATAAATTGTTTTATACTTCTTAATTTACTGACAAGGAAATAAAGAAAATCCTTGCTTTTGAAATTGGGAAAATTATACCATTTCATTTGCGCATTAACAAAAGCAATTTTTTCCCAAGGATTATGAAAAACCCTTTGATTTTAAAACCCAGTTCTGTTAGAAATCATAAAGTAGATAAAATAATGATAATTACTGAAATTCAATACTCTAAAATATATATATGTATATATAAATTATTTCAATCTATTTTATGATTCAAATGCAAGAATTATAAAATGATTTGAAAGAATATGAAAAGATTCAGTTCTGAATATATTTAAAAAATATCAAATTTTATAAAGGGGGGGAAGGATGCACTATTATATTGTCATTACAAATACTTGTGTACAAGCAACAAAGTATTTGATTTTATACAATGTACCAAGTGCACTTTTTTTTTAAATGAACTGTACTTTGCATTTTATACATCGTGATATTTAAATAATTAGACCTAAAAGTACAGATGAAAATTCCTACCTTTTACAATATTATTATAATAAAATAAAATTTAATATTGGCTTTGGATAAAATGCTGGTTCAGTAGTAATTTTTTGCAGCTTTGTTTTCGTTGCAGTTACATACTGGCTAGATAAAGTGTCAGATTTTATAAAAAAAATTCTTGGCATAAAATTTATAGTCTTTCTGTTTTATCTATCTTTTACATATAACAATAAAATTGATAAAATCAATTTTGATATACATGTTTTTCTAAACATTTAATTATAAGCTTATGAAATGGAAAAATATATCAATGGCATATCAAATTTCATTGCAAATAATTGAAAACTGCAGTCAGTTCTTGAATTCTGTTGATTTATACACTACTAGCAGCTTCGCTGCCAGCCTTCGTCTGCTTTTAAATGTACCGGGAAAATGGCTGAAGGGAACACCAAGCGTTAAATTTAAAAACTGTGTAGAATTTTACTCTGCAGAACAACTTCATAAAAAAAAGTTATTACATATAACAAAATTACAATGACATAAGCAATATCCCTTAATGCAAATATTAATTATCCTAATAAATAAATTAACCAACTTCCGTTTGCAAAATCTTAAGAACTCAAATGGTATAAAGGAGGTTAAGAACTTTGTTTCCTAAAAAATCACTCAAAACTTTTCAATATCTTAAAAACAGTGAAATGAGCAATAAATAATATAAAAGAATACAAAAAAAAAAAAAAAAAATCTGAAAAGCAAAGTATAATTCATTTTATTTTATCTTACATTTTCAAGAGAAAAAAATCTGATGTGTACACCACATGACTTCCTTGTATTGGAGTATTAAATTATATGCATTTTTTCTTGCATTTCATTTAAACTTACTGGATTGAATTAAATCTGCTTCGCCGACAGCGCATAAACCACAATAGAATAAATGCATTCTTTAAAATTCACTCTAGTACTCTAGTTTACCATAGCGACACTCTGGAGCTAGATTCACTTAACAGTATTAATAATTATATAACAGTTAACTTATATAATAATTTTATAACGGAAACTAAGTTAACTGTTATATAATCCAATAATTATATAATAGTTAATTTATATATTTCGTTCATATTATAACTCATAAAGCACAAAATTTATATCATTTAAAGAATAGAATTATCTAATTTTTATCACATGTTCTATTCAAATACTATAATAAAGTAAGAAATGACGTATAAAAGAAATTAAGCAAACGAAACAAAAAAGAAACAGTTTTTCACAGAGGATTGAGTATTTCTCATTTAATTAATTCAGTTCTCACTTCGCGAGAAAGCAAAAATACATAAAAACTCAAAATATCTATATTAAAAATTACGAAGTAAATCTTAAACGCTTATTTCCTCGAAAAAAATTCCAGAAAGGATTTAGCATGATTTAAATAATAAATGACTGCGTTATCTTTGTTGTTGCGTAGCTAAGTTACTCTAGATTGGCAACAAATCCACTAGTCTCCTGTTTCAAATATAAACATCAATGGCCGCCATTAAAAAAGGCTTAGCGGCAATTAAACAACTTTCAAATTGCTGATAATTCTAAAAATATTGCACACAGATTTACTAAAGGCATAAAATCCTTAACCGGAAGATAAAAACAACATAATTCAATCATTTTTAAAGCAAAAAATGTACAATTTACCACATATAAGAGTAAAGAAACTGAGATCATTGAGCCGGGTAACAGAGTGGATATATATATAAATATATATTTATATACGTTTGGTGCAGCCGATTGCAACCAAAATACGAAGTGCACATCTACATGTTATAGCAGTCCTATATACAAAATTTCAACGTCCTTTTTACTTCGTAGAAGGAAGTAAAAATTACAATGAAATAAGCTATATCCCTTAATACAAATATTAATTATCCTAATAAAAAATTAACCAACTTTCCGTTGAAGAAAAAAAATCATGCAAAACTTATTAATATCTTACAAACTGAAATAAGCAAAAAATAACATGGAAGAAACTCAAAAAACAAAATTCCGCGCAGAATTTTACTCTGCAGAACAACTTTATCAAAAAAAAATCAATAAAAATGTATATATATAAAAATGACAATGAAATATGCCACTCTCTTAAAACAGTGACATAAGAAATACGATGAAAAATTGCTGCCAAACCCATATTTCTAAAAGAATGAAACTATTCAAAATGATGCGATTTCATCAAAAATCTATCAACAGCAAGACAAAGAAAATTGTGGCCAAAATCACATTTTTAAGGATGTGAGAAGTGTACTCAGAAGCTTCATTTAAAAAATTTTTTAAAAATACAAAATATTTTTCCAAAATTATTTTTGTAAAAGCAGTCGCAAGGATGAAAGTTTAACGTGTGTACATTTTTAAAAAATAAACTTTTTTAGAAAATATCCCGTTCAAAAGGTGTTAAGCTCCCTTTGTTAAATAAATTCGTATTTAATCGATTTAATGAAACACAAAATTTATTTTAAGTTCGTAAAATAGCTAAGTACCTACGTTTCATGACGATGTGAAAATGGTGTAGAGTAAAATCTCGCTTTCCTATAGCCCATTATGTCTCAAAATGACGCGATTTCGTCACAAAACATAAAATAAAAAAAATTCTAATTCGAATTTCGAAAAAATCGCTTCGATGTGCGCTGGCTCTTGTCTAGATGCACCTATGTACTAAATTTCATAGCCGTGGGTCTATTAGCTTGCGCGCAGCGTAAACAAAAGAGATACACACAGACAGACTCTTTCTCTTATTAAATGTAGAGCAATAAAAATTCATGTGATGTGAAGGAAATATTGTTACATATAACAGCGAAATTAACAAAATCAAAAGAATACTGAAAAATAAAGTAACATATTGAACAACAAGCTTAATTTCTTAGTATGTAATTCTGTCTAGCTAGGAAGGAAAAGAGTGAACGCGAAATGCTACACTGTGTATCATCATCTTGTGATTCCTTCCGTGTGTCCTGTGGAAACAATCAACAATTGTGTGTTTTTCCAAAAGTTCATGACAGGAGCAAAACTGTGCCTTATATTTAAAAATATCTATATAATTATCTAATTAATATTTTAAAATTATTGTTGTTTTAAGAGGGTTTATTTTTAAGCACTAGAGATGATTAGTCTCAAAACTCACGTTTTGTCTGTATCAGTTTTCAAATTGTTGCAACCAGTTTTGATTGCCATTATTTTATTTAAAATTGAATAATGCAGAATCTGTATGTATGGAAAAACCACGACACCTAGAGTTGACAAATTTTTAATATATTGGGTTGGCAACTAAGTAATTGCGGATTTCACTCATAGATGGCTTCAGTTGAATTTTTAGGGTTGCAGACGTAGTACAAATGTAAAACACATTTTGTTATTTGATAGTTGGCAATTCAGCTGTCAATCAGTAAAAAACGTTTTTTGATCGGTTGCGTAGTTTTCGTTTGGCGTTCGTTTAAAAATGGAAAATCAAAAGGAACATTTTCGTCATATTTTGCTTTTTTATTTCCGCAAAGGGAAAAACGCATCGCAAGCTCATAAAAAGTTATGTGCTGTTTATGGTGACGAAGCCTTAAAAGAACGGCAGTGTCAAAATTGGTTTGCCAAATTTCGTTCTGGTGATTTTTCACTCAAAGATAAAAACGCTCTGGTCGTCCAGTTGAAGTTGATGACGACCTAATCAAAGCAATAATCGATTCGGATCGTCACAGTACAACACGTGAGATTGCAGAGAAGCTTTATG